GCACCTACGCACTGGCGGGGCACCCCAAAGGGGCTCCCAAAGGGGCCCCCAAAGGGGCCCCCAAAGCCCCGGCGGCCGTGTGCACTGGGTATACGTGTGGGCGTTGGTGGCCAAGTCGACCGGTGCAGGTCGAGTGAAGTCCAGAGCATCGACCTGTCAAGTCGAAAACCCCAGGTCTTCTGGGACAGATTTCAACGCCAGGAACTCTTTGAGTTCAGCCGCAAGGCACATTGAACAACCAGATCGATGCACTGAGTCACGAAGCTTTTCCTTGGACTCCCATTGGGTTTCGGGCTCTCGTCCATCCCAGGGGCGTGATCGAAGCAAGCTGCGGCCCTTTTCACTGCGTCGCCAGCTGCGAGTGAATCCAACTTCGATGGATTTCCCTGTCCGGTCTTGTTGTCCGGCCCTTACATGTCAGGAACCTGACCGAAAACTCGTCCGGTCTCTGAGAACTGCATGAGGAACTCCAAAATGAGAGAAGACTCCCTGATCTGTACGGTGAAATCCAACAAAACGATGGCCTGGGGGTCGAAATGACCAGCGCCATCGTGAGAGCATATCGTTGTGCCCCAAAGAGCGACGGGGCCATTCAGACGTGGTCGCATATGATGTTGGAGATTACTGGATGCCCAGCAGCTGAAGAAGGATAAACCCAGCAAGCCCTGTACCTAAGGCTATACTTAATGTTGAAGTTGGTAGAGCATATTAGGTGGGTTTTTTAGCCTGCGGCTGCGGATGTAGGAAACTAAGAACCGCTTGTTTTGGAGAAGGTGAAAAATTGCAAATCATTGTATACAATAAATAAATGAGAGATTGAAATAACCCCGCGCTCAGCAGTTTAGTATTGGCACCTTGACACTACTAATGCATTCCTGCCCCAGAAAACGATGATAGTAAAAAACGATAATAATAATAATAATGATTATACCGGCACATCTCATGATGTCATGGGTTTCAACCTGTCCCATTAACAATAGATACGTAATGTTAATGAAAGAACTGACTATCCTCCTCCTACACTCCCCCTGCTGAAGGAAGAGGTGAGAAGAGAACCTAGCTTTCAAATCTCACTTTCCATTCAGTAGCCGCACTGCCAGCACATGAACCACGAAAATGGCAACCTGCAGAGATGTCCCGAACGATAACAAAACGATAACGAAAACGACAAGGCAATGTAGCAAAAAACACCCCTGGTGGGCAAGTACCCATTTGACTGTGGTCATTAGACCTTTTCAAGGGCAGAAGTGTGCGGCGCGGTAGTCTTGTTTAGCTGTTTATATTTGATCTTTGCCTCTGCCATGTCTTTACCACCAAAGACCATGCATGGAAACCTGCTAATTTGACAGTTCTTGTGTGCCACCAATGACCCCAACCAATTGCCACCAACAAACTGCCACCCACCAATTGCGTTAAAAAGACGATAACATGATTTCGAGGTATTGCAAAAGACATGGGGTGTTTTCAATACCCCTAGATCAGTAGCTAGAGAACATCGGTGAGAGTCCCTGGTGGGGTTCCCTGCTGAAGTTTGGCCAGTGTGGCATCTGATCGTACAGCTAGTTTGATTGCAAGAAAGTGCCATATGTTTGCCTCAAAAAAGGTAGTTTGTGGAAAATCTCCGCACCACTAGGGCAGGCAAAAAACCTAGGTGTCCGAGTTTTGTTCGAAACAAGTTGTTTAAACTTGAGGGTTGGAAAATTATCAATTGTTTTTAGATGGCTTTAGTATAGTGAGGGTGTGTTATACCCACAACAGCACTTTTAGGAACCACGACAACAATCGCTTGTCCCCGGCAGGGCAACACCCTACCCCCCGACAGGGCAACCCCGACAACACCCCACCAGCTCCAGCAAAAGCTCCACGGCAGCTGCGTCAAGAAAAGGGCCTGAGAAAGAGGCGGGGATGGGGCGTCGTGTTTTGGTGGCGAAATTGCCTGGATTGCAACCTATTCCAGGCAAACGCTTTCATTTTACGGCTTTTGAGGGTGTAGGCACTGTTTTGGGGCTGCTTGCCTGGATTATGATGCACAACAAAGCCTCCGTTTTGAAAGTCAGCGTTTTGAGATGTGTATCTTTGTCCCATAAACAAGCGCCGCCATAAGGGCCTTAAAGCTTTTGAGGAGAATTGGCCTCAGGCTGAGAAGAATCATTGTCCAATGTTTGTGAGGGAGGGAGAGGCGCCCCGTAGCAGAATCTTCAGGTCGATTATTCAGAGCAGACGCAAAAGTACCATGTTGATCAGGACACGCAACTACAGAAGCACCTGAGCAGTATTTCTTGGAATGGTGGTGCGACGCGTCAAGCGCTTGACATTGCAGCTTTTCTGACAGGGACATGGGCTTATACAGCTATTCAAGAGGCTGATCTACGGGAAGTGGCCCGGTTGGCTTATTTGGGTCATTCTGTGGTGTCCGACGACGAATCTGGTCTTGCAGTTTCAGTTAGCTCCGACTTCGCGGACGGCCCCGGGCAGTTGCTGACCAAGGTAACTAAACACGTTGGAGACGATAATCAACAGTGGGCGCTGCGAGGTTTATTTGCCAAATTCACATTGAGGTCCCCCGCCCATTGGCAAATCAAATCCTTAGTTCTTGGATCTGCGCACCTTAACAATCTCGTAGCGAGCAAGAAAAAGGGGATCACAGGGGAGCTGCTATACAGTTGCTTCTGGACGAAGCCGAGGCCTGCAAGTGTGACGTTGTAGGGGTGGACCTAAGCCAAGGTTGGAGCACTGATTGGGGCGTCATCCAATCAATTCATCAATTGTTGGAATCTAACCCATGGCTATGATACGACGGCCTACGCGTTGACCAGAGCAAGGTCGAAACTATACTTGTTGGTGGAGGATTTCCGGTGGGAATGGGTGAAGAGTTGGACTGAGCAGCAGCAATTAGGGAACCCTGGCGAGGCATCGCTGCAGCTTGTGAAAGCCACCTCCGACAATTTTGGGAGGTTGTTCCGGAATTCCTGCGGGCTGATCTGCCAGGCAGACATCCGTCAGCAGCTTCAACGCCTCGTTCCCCTAGGAGGAAGGCAAGCTGAACTTGCCTGTGACTTGAATGTCTCAGAAGTTGTTGATTGATTTTGAATCGGCGTGGTGCCACCTGGGCACGCGCTGCATTTCTGGCATCTTAATCTTTATGTTTATTTAGTTTCTGTGTTTGCACTAACCATCACATCACCAAAGTTTGGATGGAAGTGGTTTTTGGTTCGCCAGTTGGGCAAGCTTCGATTATGTTGGTGCATCGAAAGCATGCGAGTTATGATGTCACGCCCAAAGATCGTGACCGTGACAAGTCACCAACTAACTTGACATTGCCATGTCACGTCTGAAACACAGACAGGGACACTTAGAGAATGGCATTAAGTGCAATACCCCACACTCGATAGAACCCCTGTCGGGCGCTGGTTTTTCCCAGATAGCGAAGCTATGGGATTCTCACTTCAAAAACAATGAGCTGCCTGCGCGCGCTTTCGAGACAAGTTGCCGGTGCTGGTGCTGGTGCTGTGAGCTGGCTGTGCACGTGGTGGAGACAGGGTGCCGGTGCCAGTGACAGGGTGGTGGGTGCTGGTGCCGGGCGCTGGTGCTGTGGGCTGGCTGTGCACGTGGTGGGCGCTCCGGTGCTGTGCGCGTGGTGGAGACAGGGTGCCGGCGCCGGTGCTGGGTGCTGGCTGTGCACGTCGTGGAGACAGGGTGCCGGCGGCCAGTGGTGCTGGCTGTGCGCGTGGTGGAGACAGGGTGCCGGTGCCGGGTGTGGGTTTGGTGTTGTGAGCTGGCTGTGCGCGTGGTGGAGACAGGGTGCCGGTGCCGATGCTGGGTGCTGTGGCTGTGCGCGCTTGGCGCGTTGCAGAGACAGTGAGTCAGGGCGTCGCTACTTCCAGGAAGCTGAGGGAATCAGCAATCTGAACAGAACATCATGGTATATCCATATATCCAGTGTTTTCTCGACATTCTTCTGTTCTTTCGCGTGACCTTTGGGTCCTTACAAGTTGTGTAGCTTGCATATGTGAGGGGGTCTATTTTTGTATCTTGTTCCCCAGATAGCGACAGCTATGGGGTTCTTTCTTCAAAAATAATGCGCTGGCGGTGCGCGCTTTCGAGACAGGGTGCCGGTGCTGGGTGCTTGTGCTAACTTTGTGCTGGTGCTGGGCGCCGTGAGCTGGCTGCGTGCGTGGTGGAGACTGGGTGCCGGTGTTGGGTGCCAGTGCTGGGTCCCGTTGCTGGGTGCTGGCTGTGCGCGTGGTGGAGACAGGTGCCGGTGCGGGGTGCTGGTGTCGGGTGCTGGTTGCCGGTGCCGGGTGCGGTGCTGCATGGCAGTGCGCGTGGTGGACACACGCTGCCGGTGCTGGGTGCCGGTGCAGGGTGCTGGCTGTGCACGCGGTGGAGGTGCACATTCTTTTTTGCGCGCATAAATTCAAAGATCGTACGGTGTTTTCGTTTTACAGATCGTTGCTTCAAGCATGCTACAAAGTCAATGGATACTGCTTGGCCTTGGGCCAGTGACACTTGCGGGCTTTGCTGTTTGCGCGCATACTTTTGTGCGCATAAACTTATACGCACAAGATCATACGTTGTTATTCCCCAGATCAAATATGAATGGGCTGGCTGCGCGCACTTTCGAGAGGATGTCCGCGCTGGTGCTGGCGTTGTGGTCCCGTGTGCTGGTGCTGGTGCTGTGAGCTGGCTGAGCACGCGTTTGAGACGGGCGGCGGCACTGGTCGGGTGCTGGTATCGCTGCCGGCGTTGTCAACTGGCAATGCTCACTGTCGAGACAGGGTACCGCTGCTGGTGTCGGCTGGTTGTGCGCGCTGCATGTACATTGTACAGCCTTGTTCCAGCCAGCCGCATGTCATGCGATTCTGCCTAGCTATCTGGGTCTATGCTGGTGTAATTTGTTGTCGAGGAGGTATATAACACGGCCTCTTAGTATAGTAAGGATAGTATAGTTAGTGTGCTATGTTTGTTACAATTCATTCCCTCCAGTGTTTCATTAAAGAACGGCGCCCAAGTAGGTTAGATCCACTCAAGCATAAAATGAACTTTATACGATTTACAATCGCCACTGCATATATTGATATTTCTGATAAAATTTGATAACCGAACCCTTGCACATCTTTGGTTCTTGAATATATACGAAATATAGCAACAGTGACAAGTGTTGTTTGTCCTTTGCAAAGCAAATTTCAGAAGAAAGTCAGGATGAAACCTTCCAGTTGCGCTTGAAAAAAAACTCTTGTTATTGTAGGGTTGAACTGGTGATGCTCGAAACATTTGTCGTTTGCTAATCCGGCGCTGTTTTTTTTGCAACACTCGCGGAGAATATGCGCAGAGCAGATCGCCAGTCAACCTAAGGCCTGGAAGCGGGCGCAGCTTCAACTCGCCATGCCTACGAGCCCCTTCGAGCCTAAGATGGAGGGTTGGGGAGCAAAAAACCGACGTGCCCCATGACATGGTGCAAAAGGTGGAGAGTTTCGGAAGCCAGTGCTTTGATGGGATAAAGAGTTGAAAGGGGATGTTGAAACGGATTCGTGGAGCGGAGGATCTCAGAGTTCTATACTTGGACCCGTTTCATGGTGTTGGCAACAGCTGCCCAGACACCAGTCAGGGTCAAAAACTGATAGCCCACGGGGCCAACAGTCTGTAATTTAATGCACACTAGAAGCAAAAATGGCGTCCCCCCTCAAGTGCTTGCCCATGTGCCACACATGTTTCCATGTTACCCTCCTGCAGATCAACATGGACCCGCAAAACCACATGGGGTTGTAGAGAAAAAGGGGTGGAAACCACAGGTGTTCATTCTCAGGTTCCATGTGGTCCCTCTGCGACAACTTCGTCCCCGCTTCAACGGTTTCAACGGTTTTGGGGTCCCGCGGTGACGGTGGCGTCTCGATCGTCGAAGTGGAAGTCGACTCACTCCGTGTGGCCTTTTCTCACCCTAGGGGCTCCAACCATATCCTCAGGTTCGGTGGTTAGACCCCCCAAATCCACCCCAACCACGCTCTCAGGAGCTGGTTGGAGCCCTAGGGTCAGTCTCTTTCTTCCACGGAAGGGAGGAGCGGGCCGACGGACAGTTGAAGACTTGCCCTGACTGGCAGGAAAAATACACCCGGGTTCCGGGACCCACATGGAACTTGACATGGACCTTTGGAAGACGATTTTCCTCTACAACCCGACATGGTTTTTAGGTTCCATGCTAACTTTCCAGGGTGTACGTGTCCGACATGACTCTACTATAGTTGACAGGTACTTCTACCCCTGCTTCGTGCGTCTCGCACGGCTACTTCCTACACCAGGTCAGGGTTTCCAGACGGCGCGGGGGCCCGCAGATTCCGGCGGAACCGGACTCGTATGCGCGGTATGCGCGGTCTGCGGAGGTCGTCGGGCGCTGAGGTGTGGAACATCTCTTTGGAGAGCCCATGAGCTTTGACACCTGGCAGGACTCGGTCCATTCACCATCCGCCAAGAGCGGTACAACGTCACAACACGACCCGAGCCGAGCGTTTGGGACTATGCCATATGCAAAATGTGAGGGGTGGTTGACTGGAGGTCAATGGATTGGCATATATGGCAGTTGGAGTGTCTGGGTTACATATTTACATAACATTCACCCCTATGATAACCACACCAATGTAGGCATATATGGCAGTCCCATGGAGCGTGGCTCTCCCTAGTGGAAACTTCAGCCCTGGGTATCACGAAATCGTGCTTGGTTTTGTCACATTCACCTCTCAAACACTCGATTCCAAGATTGTGCACCATTCTCAACAATGCCTGCGCATGAAGCAAGTCTGCGTTTGCTGGCTTCCGTGTTGAAAGATGAATCAACTTCATTTTTTCAAGTTACGGTTGCCCTATAGGCTGCCCATGGCACCTTTCATTCATGTTATGTTTTTAGCCATGGTGAAAGCTTGGAATCAATTCCCATTCTTCGATGCGAACAGGCTGTTGTTCGTCGTCGCTCGGGGTTCAGAGCGACGTGGCCATTCGAACCAGGACGTGGAAGCCGCAGGAGTCATGTGGCAGGAGGCGGATGGCTGTCGACAGTCCGATGGAATGCGGGGGGCGCCATCTTTCCGTAAAGGATCTTAATCTGGCGCCAGAACTTGGAAGAACCAGAACTGTTTCTGGTTGGGACTTGGTTCCCAGGTAGATGATCTTCCATAAACCAAGTCGGCCACAATTGTTCATCGGAATCTTACTCGAGAGGTGTGGTAGAAGCAGGGAATTCTAGAGTCTAGAGGATGCATGACCCAGTGCCCAAACCTACTCAGTCAGTGGATAGCTCTTATGTATTTTTCTTGTTTGTTCTCCAATCAAAAGGTGGTGAAAAGAAGCTTAACGTTGTTTTCGATAACTGAAGGAGTCAACGGAGGATGGGCTGTCTATCCTCCTCGCAGTTTGTGACTCCCAAAGGGGGAAAGTGAACACTTGGTAAGCCCGAAAGCCACTTCTGGTTACACTCCGTTGTGCGGATGGCGCACCGAAAAGACCATGAAATTCTCTATAAACAAAAAGGTGGTGTAAATAAACTAAGGGGGGGTTTACTAAACAACTAAGGTTGTTTTATGCCCTCCCTTGTTGTTTAATTTAATGGTCTACTAACATGGTTGTAAGGGGGGTTGAACTACTTCCATGTTAATTCTGTGGCATACACTTCCACTTCCGCACCTCATGCCCAGTCTCACGGCGTATCCGTATTTGCCTGCGTATTCCTATCCGGATCAGGTGTTTTTTCCCCAGTTCCTGGGAGAATCCACGTACCGGGGGAATATCTCCCACACACGACTTGTCTGGGACTGCCAGTCCGGACTGCCGATCAAGCCAGAGGTGGTTGACTGACGGGGTCAATGGATTGGCAGTCCAGCCTGGCAGTCCCAGACAGGTCGTGTCTGGGTGTGGTTGATTTTAGTCCGGTTCCAGAAGGCGGCAAATCCAAGCAATGCAAAGTAACTTCCAAGTTCGGTGCCCAGGTTCACCACCTGGTTTAGGGTTCTCCAGCCATTAGGGTCCTGGTGGATGACGGATGGTTTCTGAGATTGACTTCCCATGTTAACTTCCAGGGAGAGCCGACAGCATCGGTCGGCAGTTGTCGGAGCTGGACACGTCGGGCGCCGTGAACTACGTCACCGAGTTCAAGTGGAGGTGCGGTGCCCGGACGGGACGGTGAAGGAGGTGAACTGGTGCGGTCCCCGGACAAATACCTAAGTCGTCCATAAAAGGTGTGGGTAGAGTCTGGGTGGTTTGGGCAAAAGTTTAACGTCGTTTTGAAAGATCGGGTGACTTTTAGTTTCACTATGGGTGAATGCCTTTCCTGGAATTGACGATACCTGAGATTGCTCTTCCTGTAAACACGTGAATTGCAACAATCGTGATAGAATGCTCCAGAGAAGCTTGGGTGTCCAAGCCATTCATGCTATCACTCCCCCGAGATGGTATGGAGACCCAAGCCCCTAATCTCTCACCAAAGGCAATGTGAAACCGTGTGCTTTCGACCACATGCCACACATGGTGTTTCACCAAGTACCCATGGCCAGTCTCACCATCTATGGCCGCCGGCGCGCGCTGGCGGCGCGGGGGAGGCCGGAGACCATGGCCTCCTTCTTCTCCACGCCCAGCAGTTCCACCAGCTCCGGCCTAGTGAAGTTCACCGTGGAGGATCGGATCCACCTCTTTTTCGAGCAGCGAACGGTGGAGAGTGCGGCGAACGGTGAAAACGGTATGCGGTGTGTGCTGTGGATGTTTTAAGATGTGATACGGTGTGTACAAGTTGTACAGTGTATTATATATATATATGCATTCTTATTAAGGTTTTTTCTTGGGTGTTGCTCAGTACTTGAGAATCTTTCTGTTTGTCTTCGATGAAGTACCAGGATTTTGTCTCCTAGTTTCGAGTTTCCCTCGTTCGACATTTGAAGTCAAGTTCGATGCTAAGCAGCGCATTCAAGAGCTTGGCCATACTTGCAGAATGCAACCCAAAAGAACACTTGGGCAGGGAAATATGCGGAACTGACTGAAAAGCGAGGAACACCTGCTGATGGGAAGCTGACTGAAAGGGAATACCCATGCGGTCAAAAACACCTTCCTTGGCGGAGCTGACTGAACACCTGCTGATGTCCAGTTCCGTGCCTTCGCTGCTACGCCGTGCCGCTACGCTGTGGGCCAATACAGGACCCGAGTGGAGACATGGAGCTCGACGATGACTTGAAGATGGGGCACTCAGATTCGGCGAGATGGTGGAGAGGGGCGGTGGATGATGGAGGTGGTTTCCTGGTCAAACCGAGAAGGGATTAGAGTTCTATAGCTCTATAGCTAGCCCCTCGACTCTCTTCATCTTTATTAGGTACACTCAGGGTGCTTGTCAGTTTCCCGAACTGGGCAAAATGCCATTCCTAAGCGCTGCCCAAAAAACCACCAAATGTAGGCCATATGGGATTCTGGAGACTTAGTGAGGCCACTGGATGCAGATGTCTCGTCTGCATGTCTGAGCTTCTGTCTCGGGAAGGTGAGATGGAGTTTTTCGAGCTAATAGCCGCAGGTGATTTTTGAGGTGTGCAGGACTTTATGCATGAGATGATTTCGACGATCCGCTGCCCGTCTGTTGTCACGTGGTTCGTACGGTGTCTTTTGGGAGACATCAACGCACAGAAGGAGCCGTCGTGGCCTCAGGGTACATTGGATCAAGTTCTGCGCTTCTTGACATCCCTGTTGGGGTGGGTTGCTGAAGCACCTGCGAGCAGATTTTGACCTTGTGCTGCTGCTTTTTGCATGTATAGGCTACGTCAGAGACGACCCTCGCAACTGAAACTGAAACCCCTCGCCACTCCACCGGTCTCGACTTTCGCCGCCCAAAACACGAAGCACCAGCTTCTCTTCTCGGACGTGACGCCGCCGCAGGTTCCGCGTGAACCTCATCCCCGAGCAGAGCGAAGAGGCGCGGGGACGAGGAAGACCCGGGGAAGAGGCGACGTGGTGACGTGGCGAAGAGAGACATGGAATGACCGAGTTGAGGTTTCTTGTGACCTGAAAAGGGATGAAAAAGGACCCTATACTGAGGTACCTATAATGCGATAGTCACTCGAACGCCTAGGGTTCTTCAACCTCCGTTGGGATATGGATGTTTGGGGGGGTTGGTTCTTTTTTTGGGGAGTGCTTTTGGAAGGGATGAGGTTGAGTACAGGGGACATGACATGTATGGGCTGTATGTGGGTCAAAACTAAGGACCTGCAGTCCAGGGATTGAACCGACTCACTGACGAACTACCTGAACACTTGTGGTGCCAAGTGTGCTCCAAGAAAACAATACAGAAGAGACATCCAGGACCCGGGAGTCACAAGTCACGTGTCGGGGTGGTGTTTTGTCCCATCCAGTAAGTGGATGTGACAGGGGCACCCCGACAACCAACCTCCATGGATAGCACCCAACTCCGAACCGCACGCTATGATGTATCCGGCGTCGTTTTCTGGCAGGATGGGGCCATGAAGAACCTCCACCGCATGCCGCTTGACGGGTTGCGGTCTACCATGGCTTCGTAGGATTGTGAGGCGGGTGAGGCAGGGGCAGCCGTTTTGGAAGGCAGAACGCCTGTTGTCAATTTCTCCCTATAGTTGTGTGAAAACAATCGCAGCCTCTGGCCTCTGGGATCTTGGCCTTTTGCCTTTGGGTTCGACCTCCAACAGGCGACATGGTTGTCCCGCAAAAGACAACATCTCAGCTTGCCACAACTTAAGCAGAAAAAACACATAGGAAAACACTTCCCTATAACCAGTGGAAAACCTGCAAAGGCTTTCTGGGTGGATTGCAGAAACCGGTGAGCTTACCACCAAGAAAGTGGTCACAATAGAATTCAATAGAACCACTATACAGTGTTTCTGGTTACCACTATATTAGTGTTTCTTGGTTGTTTGTTACATCAACCTCACAAGATGGAACTGTTGAGAAGTTCGGTTCACCCTTTCTTTTCGCAAAAATCTCCAGCGAGACGGAGCGAGCCATGGTTATGCAACGGGTTCCAGGATCGGACGGAGCGAGCCAGGGAGTGTCCCAGCTTTCCGGAAGCGGAGAGACGATGTTTAAAGACAAAATCATACGGGCGATGACACCGATGGTTGCCTCCGGTGGCCCTTCAAACAACGTCACCCTGAGAAAAAAGGTCCAGGCCAACTTCCGCGCGTTTCTGTGGAGGGCCGTTTTCTGTGAAAAACCGAAGCAAAAAGGAACACACGCGCCGTTTGCACCCGCCGCTTTCGCGGGCCAAAGCGGGAGGCACCTCGGCCGCCGGCGCCGCTTTGGCGCACCGAGGTCCCTGCAGTTGGTGGGAGGCAAAAGCTCGTCAGGGAGCGAAGATGATGATCGGTGCGATGTTGGGGGCCGTTTGGGCCGGTGGGGTTTAGAGGTCATGAGGTCGACGTGAGATCTTGCGTGAAGGTCGACGAGATCAGATGTTCATCTGGTTTCGATGGAACACTGCGCTTTGTTAGAGGGAACTTGCATGTCCTTGTGTGTTTTCCTTTGCGGCCGGCCTCGTTGATAACAGCAGAAGGGGAAGGGGATGACATGCCACACAAATCCCCACTCCCGCATGGAAGTCGAGACGACGAATTCAGGCGATACGGGTGAACGAAACTCCTTCACCCAGGTCGGCCCCTTATCGGCAGACACGACATGAGACATGGGACTGCCAGTCCGGACTGCCGATCAATCCAGGGGTGGTGGTGCCAGGGGGGTCAATTGATTGGCATATTAATCATAGATGGCAGTCCCAGACAGGGAGTGTTTGGGTTAGGCAGTCCCAGATATGTTGAAACACAGAGCTCGACGTGTCGACGTCAATCTGCATACCCTCTGAGAGCTGGGTGGCAATGGAGACAGATCTGGGTGATTGGCGCCGTACCAAAGCTGAGAGGGTGGCAATGGATCCCCAAAGGGAATGATCCTTTTTCGGGGGTTGGTGAAAGCAACCTGAGAACTCACTAGTCAGTGGATGGCTTAAAGAACCTCGTGACCTCGGGGGCGAACTGGTGGACCCCCACTCGAACCAGACTGAAGATCACAGTAGAGGAGCCCTTATCTCGTTACTTCTAATGAAGGGCATAGCGAAAAAGAGCCCTTCATTCTGCCAAGCTGAGTGGAAAGTTTGGATCTCCGGCTTGGAAGTGAGATATTGAAACAAATGTCGCACATGTCATGTCAGGAGATTCGCCGTTTTCAGCTCGTCGCATGGGGAGTTTAAAACCGTGGAGTAAAGCCGCAACGAGCGATTGGAGAGTCAATGAGATGCTCCAGGAAAAAGATCAGTTGTTCAAGTTAAGAACTACCAACTCCAGGCAACTTCAGGAATGCACATTATTTGGAAACGCGGTATGTAAGGATTGTAGTGGACAATTGTGATACCCCAGACGCTCAGGGCAGAGGAATCTGGGGTGTCAAGTCCCTAGGTTTCGAAGTGGTCAGCAGTTGTTAATTTGAAGCTTTTGGGAAAACGTTCCAAGCTTCAAAAACGGGTGTGTCTTCCAATGCGTGGAAGTTACGGATCGTGTGCGCCAATTTTCCAGTTCGATTAGTCAAGCACTTTTGTGGGATGTGATTTTAGGTCCCTTTCCTGGTCACTTTTGTGCGTATTTTTGGGGGAGCAGCTGGTTGATTTCATGATGCATCTCCCAAGAAAAAGCTTGGGACACGTGACACTTGATATAGTTCTGCGCCGTCGCATTTCCAAATCCAAGCACTGGGACGTAGACCCAGTAAACCTTACGGAGCTGCATGTTCATATCGCAGCACACATGACTCAATTCTGGTGAATGAAAATTGGTTCAGGAACTTCGGAACGGAGAAAGAATTTGCAATCTGGAAACCAGTTGTGTTTGTCACGGGTCCTCCATCTTCCCAATTCAAAGACCCACTATATAAACGCGGAGCCGTTCGGAGCGGCCACGGGTGTTTCCCAATTATTGGCTGGCTATAGCTACTAGAAGAATAGAAGCTACTTCCTATTCTGCGGATGAACAAGTGGTTTTGGAGCACCATTCGGTGGACTGACTATGGTGCATGGTGGACTAGTGACCCATGACCCACCACGTGACCATGCGGTGGACATGACCCTTCCTCATCCGCGCTTCGGTCGACCTCAGGTCGAAGATCTACCAGATCTTTTTCCACACGGTCGATCCCACTTACCAGGCACGATATGTACCTGACGTCGGCGCGGCAAACCTTCCGGTATATGGTTTCATTTAATAAGAACTTGAGCATATATGGTTTTCATAAACCAACCATATATAAGTCCAACCATGTGAACTTGAACTTGGGCACTTAGATATTGTGCAGTCCGTGGATCATGTGGATCATCTGCAAAAAGGGCCTTTGGGGGGAAGAGTGGACCAACCCCACTCAATACTCTGTGTTTGAGGGACTGGATGCTTTGGGAAATGAGCAAAGCCCAGAAAGTCACATTCAAAGCCTCTTCACTTGGGTTGATGTTTTCACTACATCAGGGACTCCACAAGAACTCCTGCACTGGCGCTTTCCCACCTGTGGACCACCTTCCGTGCAGAACAACACGTCTGCGCAGTAAGCCGTCTGCACACGGTAGGAACAGTCCGTCTGCAGAACACGAAGTCGTCGTCTGACCGACTTCGTGACGAAGTCGGCACGGGGGCAGGTGCACATCAATGTGCCGGACCATCGGCAACCGATCTTCCCCACCAACGAGGCACGGGGGTACTAGTCCTTCTGTTGTGGCCGAGAAACGCTGGGGTGGGGTGGGGTGTTGCGCGAAATTGGAGCCTTCAGATGAGTGGGAGGGAGAGTTATGGAGGCCAGTTATTTGGTGGGGGTTGGGGCTGCACACGCAGAGGGGCGTTGATCTGGTGTGGAGTGAGTTGAAAGGTTTGGGAAATTTTAAGAACACTCATTTTAATAAGATTGATATGGGAATGGGATGATATGGGCTTTCACTTGTTTGATCTCTTGAAGGAAGCCCAGGAAGCCCGAACCAAACGGTGGATCCTCGCGGGGGTGACTTCGTTGTGTCGGCCGCATCTCTCTTCGGCGCCGCAGGACGATGTAGAAAGGATCGTCGTGGAGTTGAGTTTGTTTTTGATGCTTCCCACGAAATCGATGTCTCTAAAAAGTCTTTTTTTTCTACTATGTGTTTCGTCACAGTCGTCAAGCCCCAGATCCGCGTTAACCGTAGCAACGTTGAAAGAGGCTCTTGGTTCAACGCCCTTTGTGCTTCGCTCCTGATCCAAAACGCCACTCGATGCTGACCCCCGGAATGGCGCGCATCGCCCGTAGGTCACCACAAACGAGAGAACGAGGAAAGAAAACCGGGGAGATTGATCGACAACCACAAAGGAAGAGGGTGAAGGTCAATTCGGTTCACCTCACCAAAAATACCTGAGGCTGCCAGGACAAAACAACATCAAACAACGCAAAAGATCAAAAGACTCTGCCCCAGTGATTGACCGTACGGCCGCTGTAAGCCGCCGGATGCTGTCGTGCTTTACCCTTGGTACCGTGGATGTTGGAGACAAGATCATTAGTTTAATTCAATCACGGCTTGGGATGGGTATGACTTGGGATGATATATGATGATATATATATAGTTTAATAATGGTTAATATCTTATTATATACTTCAATATCTTATAGTAGGCTTGGGGTATGACTCGATCCTGATGATGTCGTTTTTTTGATCTCAAGTCAGTTGAAGTGGTCAAGCTCATTGACTTGATGCTGTCGTCAGTCAGACGCTGTGCATCAATGCTTGAAATGGAGGCGAATGGATACCGTGGAGCCAAGGCAAAAGCACAGAAAGTCGGAATAGTGGCAGGATCTTGCAGGACTTGCTCCACTTCCGCAGTCGAAGCGAAGAAGCCAAGACTCAGCCGTCACTGGCTCTGGCGCGGTGTCGCTCGCTCCAGGAAGAGTGGCAGGATCTGGACTTGCTCCACCTTCCGCAGTCACCGCAGTCGGGAAGAAGCGAAGACTCCTTCCCGCCACCATCGGTGAAGGACCCGAAGGAAGTCGATCTATCTCAGTTCGGTACGGGCGGTGACGCGTCCGATGTTGGTCACTGGATACCTCTAGATCGTTGTGCCAGTACATCACGACGAAAGTCTGGGACTGCCAGTCCGGACTGCCAATCCATTGACCCCCCAGGTCAACCATCCCTGGCGTGATCGGCAGTCCGGGCTGGCAGTCCCAGACGTCTCGTCTCGTGTCTGGGAATGATGGAAGGATGCGTGGAAACCCAGGTACACCCCAGCTTCACATGGAACCTGGCGTGGACGTGGACCAGACGATGTTCCTCTACCGGGGCTTTTGCAGGTTCCATGTGAAGCGACGTTGGGGCGTCTTGCGACTTGCGACGTCTGGCGTCCGGTCTATTCTGCAAGCGTCTGGTCTGTGAAAAGATGCACTGTCTCACAGCTGCAAATCGTATGGAACGTTTCACACGGGTTGGACCCAATTGCGAACTGCAAAACATCAGAGCTGTAGGCGCAAAGTCAGCAAGTGTTGTGCGCGACCTTTCTTCATTCGTGAAGAAGGTCCCAGTCACCAACCACCAATAGTTTACTGTATACATGAACAACTTGCTACTGAGCAGTCAAAGGAGCACCACGGTGGTTCATTGTTTGGGGGTTCTGGCAAGCCTTTCCTCTCTCCACTCATGTATGGCAATGTTCCTGAGATTCCATTATAGTAGACTGCAGATGCCTGGCACATGCCCAACTGCACGATACCTTCGACACCTCACACAGGTACACATGGAAGATCCATGTTCCCCAGAGCATCCACCGGAGCAGTCGTGGTGTTTGCAGGTCTTCCATCAGTGGCATCCTTTGATGGCAGGGCTTCGCAAACGACCGCGCCTGAGGCGCGCTGGAGACTGGGGACAACTGCGACCGAGCCTGGTCTGGAGTCTGTGGGATAGGCCTGCACCAAGCAACATGGCCGTGGGTGAAAAGCACCCGTATCCTCAAACCAACCAGGGTAGGTGGACCTCCTAGTCCATCGTCCATTCATGTCGATTCTGTTCATTGGTCCTGGTGCTGACCCAGGTAGCCCGCTTTTGACCCACAGCCACATAAACCAACCAAAATCACAAATCTTGGAGTTAATGTTTAAAGGTCAGCAGCAGGATTCAGCGGCGAAATCATGGATGAGCGTCATGTTTGTTGAAGTTGTGGGAAAACTACTGGTCAGGGGAGGATGGTTGTTCATTACAATTGTGTAAGAAACCTTACCCAGTCAGTGGATATCCTCACAATACTGCTACCTGGTGGAGAAGTTGGATATCCCTAGCTGTTGCGAGCCGTTTCGGGAGCTAAGGAGCTGGGGTGATCCAGTTCTTCCCGATTCAACAGAAAGCCGGAACTTGAAAGCACCCAAGACCTTGCTCGATCCTCAAAGACCTGGAGACATAGATGTGTTCATCCCTTTAACCCATTTTAAACCTAAGATAAGTACCAAGATGCAAGATGAAGCACTTGGGGAAGATGCACTTAAGTAAGGTTTTCTTCCAAATCGAAGATGTCTTCCTTTTCTCCAGGTTTCTGATCCGCTTGAAGCCCATGGACAGCGGCCCCCTGGATGCCATGTTTCTCGGCTTGGTTCGAGAAACGGGGAGAGGGTCAACACGTGGAGACGTAGTGCTCTTACCCCTTAGGTAGTGGTAGAGTTTACTGACTTGTAGGGTATTAATGCTGAATCAATTCTGTGAGATGTGCACACACAGCATCTCATTCACTTGGAAGTGATTGTCATGGCCCCTTTCGGAAGACTGCCATTTTCGTTACACTCCCTGAAACCATTATGAAGGCGCAACAGTTTGACTTCTGGTTTCGATCATTTTCTCTACAACATGCTCGTGGAGGAGGCTTCCATTGGAGGCTTTGGAACTTGGAACACATGTTCGAATCCGAAGAGGATGCCGAATTAAGCTCCCCATAGAAAAACAGCCTGTACATGTTTTTGCGGAGCCTAGCCTATCAGTTTTTCAGCTACCATTTGGTTCCCATGGGAATCAGCTACCGAGTGTGGATCACCTGCAAAACCCCAAACCTCTACCATGACCTTTGTGGAGAGTCCCTCCACATCCTCACATGGAGGGCCGTAGGCGGGGGGACGAGCCGTCCCTACCCACGGCCGTGGATGTGACGTCGGGGCACCCCCGACATCCAACCTCCCTCCAAGGGCGCCCAAGCGCCCTGTCCTCCAATGGAACTGCTGGTGCAGAACCCCAAAGCTGCAAAGCAGCCCAAAACACGCGGGGGTCTGGCGAGTTGGGTTCTGGTGCAAACACACTGGTTTGGGATTTTTGGACCTTGGGGGGAGTTGAAAACCCCTGAAACTGAAAGCGGCAGAAACTGAACCTGAGGACCTGCGCTGAACTCCAAAACTCCAGGGATCAATCGAAACGGCGAGTGTTAAGCAGAATGGGTTTCTCCAGGTGAACAATGGCCGAGGCACCCCATGCCCTGGGGCCGAAGAACCCTTCGACCATTTGGGTGTCCGACCTGGTGTTGTAGTGTAAAAAACCAGCTCCAAACCGTGATTCTTCTGTCATAGTCTTAGTGGATATAAACCAGCTATAACAGCATGGTTTATAGTGGATATAACCAAAATGGCTGGGCGACCGGACTCCGAACTCGGCGAATGAGTGAACGTCGTCACCTCCGTCGAGTGACGCTACCGCGACGTCCGCTCCGGAGGTCCCGTGGAGTCCGCGTTGGTTGCGTTGGGTGCAGGACATGGTAGACACGACCTGTCTGGGACTGCCAGGCTGCACTGCCAATCAATGGACCCCCCAGGTCAACCACCACCCCTGGCGTTTTCTCGGCAGTCCGGACTGGCAGTCCCATGGAGTGTTTGGGTACTAATCATGTACCACTAACATGGAAGAACACAAGGAAGTGGATGCTATCTCGATACACCCTGACGAACACATCACATGGTTACGTGGATAGCATGGTCCGGAAAGGAAGACGACTTTCCTTTACAAACCGGGGGTGCCATCCACTTCCATGTGATTTGTTCGTCGGAGTGTACTAATAAGGTACTTAATAATGTACAATAATGCTGCATGAAGCGAACTTTTTTGGTTCAGACTTGCAGTCGAATGACTCGTTTTTGAAGCCAGATTTCTAAGAACCCTAGGGATCCAATATGAGCCAGTCGTACCTTCTCAGAAGCTGATTGGAGAGTTATGTAGGTTTGGAGGACCTTCTGAGAAGGTACTGTACTTGGATCCCTAGAGGAAGACATTCCCTGGAAAAGCAAACGTCACTTTGAAGTACCTCTGAAAACAGCTTTGTGCCTTTCCCAGAGGCTGCATGGGACTACAAATATGGCCTACCTTGAGTCTCCAATGACCCTTTTAATTGTGCCTTTTCCAAGAAAGCACTCTTTTTTGCATATGTCACGAAATGTTCCTTTTTTGTTTGGCCCTGTCAGATCCTCCTTAGACAGTGTCCTGAGACCTTTTTTCGGCGTCCAAAACGCGTCTTTTTGCGTCCAAAAGGTGTCTTTAAGTGTCCGCACCGGACGCGTCCGGATGAAGATTCACATGGTACTTTTTTTGAGTCCTCATCTCTGAAAAAGCATTTTTCGGGCAAAAACGCAAAAATATTAGACCCAAAACAAAAACGCATAAAAATAAGGTCTTTGGAGACTCAAGGTATAAAGATGACTGGTGGTTTTGGGTGGTCAATGTAGGCCCTAATTTTTTTAAAGAACGCGCCACCATGGAATTCTTTGTGACTGGCTTCGATATGTTTCGATGATGTCTTCAAGTCAAGTATATATTGGTCTAAAAACGGAGAGTGGGCTGAGAAACGAAATCACTCCAGTGGGTCACAACACTCGTGTTCTTCCGCACTCCAGGTGCGGCTGCTGCGGTTGATGGGCGCCATCGTTCAACGATGCCCTCCTGCGTGGGGATGCCCTCCTGCGGTCCAGGAACCCCCCCTTATTGGGTTAAGCCCAGCTCGAGCCCACCTCGGTTGATGAATTCTATATACGTTTGCTGCCGTAGTTGACTTCTCGCATAGATGTTTTCTCTACAGAGCCAAGAACATGCCGCCAAAACCTCAGACCCAAAGAAAGCTGGTTCAGACACTCGGAAGTGAATTGATTCGATCTTCGGAGATTGATGCCAAGCCTGGCCAAACCCACAGGTTCGCAGAAGAACTGTTTGGTACATGGGAGGTTTGATTGGATTGCAACAAGGATCAGTCTATACAGGAAACTGTCTAACTGATTGCATGCAAATGCATCCTATATAAGGTATGTTGTTTGGACGCCTTCCGGGGTGGTTAATGGACACCCCTTCCCACCAATTGGCACCCCTTGGGGTCTCCTGGTATATATGATGTCTTTTGTATCATATCATATGTTGCATAATAACTGTCTTGGTCCTCCATGCGTGAACATCTTCATTCGCTTCTTGCCTCGACCCTCGCCACCCTCGCCACCCACGCGACCGGCGGTTTTTTCCCTTTCCGCAACGGAAAGATCCGTCAAACACCGATGGCGCAGATGGAAAAAGACGTGAGATCCGTCGGTTTCGGGGTGTCATGAGACATGAAGAGATGAAGCACGAATACTGGGTGACAAGTGAAGAGACACATGCAGAGACCAAGATTCACTATATACGTTACTTTTCTTGGAAGGGATTTACTTTGCCACCTACCCTCTTTTTCTGCGGGGGAAGCAGACCACATGCAGAAGCACTATAGCGACTTGGTCGCGACATGCCGCGACGTACTCCCATGGGCTCCAAGCACTCAGCTCCAGTACTTGGCGTGAGCTATATCCAGACACGACCTGTCTGGGACTGGCGGACTACAGACCAGACAGACCGTGGTCTCAACCACCGGCCTTTTCTCGGCAGTCCGCCAATCCCAGACAGGTCGTGTCTGGGTCCCAAGCGCGGTTCCGCTCTGGAAAGCGGTTGCGGTTCTATCGCACACGTGCACCCACCAAGCCGTTTGAGTGAGTTCGGCTCGTGACTGGACGTCTTCGGCTCGATCGTGGCCTGAAGATTTCTTCCTGGCTGAATCGTAGACACTCCCTGAATCGTTCACAGTAATTATTGGTCTGCACAGAGGTTTCCATGAGATAAAAGAGAGTCTACTAAGCCAGGGTTAGAGAATAAGCCAGTGGAAACTACTTTGCCACAGTAACTTGACCAGCTATTGACTATTCATGGATTTCAACATGCTTCATGCTATGGAAATCTATGGAAACATGGGTTTTTTGGCAGGGGCAAATCCATCTCAACCTGCCTGATCTTGCCAAAAGAAAAGCTTTTTTGGACAACTTGATACAGAAGCCAAAAACCGTACCTCCTCCGGACCTACACTCGAAAGAATCATGGGTGGAGTGAAAACCACCTGGTTTGGTCTTTGGATTGCCATGGACCACCGTCTTTTCAAGGGGAGTCAGTCAAACCCCATCCACGTATCACGTCACCACCACGACCTTCCAGGGAGCGGATCTCCATGGTCTCCATGTTCGTCGCGTCGCGTGTCGCGCGTCGCGCGTCGCGTCACGCCACTTCCGGTGATGCGGCAGGAGGCTCACAAGCGATCCGGCGAGGGTCGTGTCTTCATCACCTTGTGACTGGGCGGAGCTCGTCCGGTTGATCGGTCGAGACAGGGCGGTGCTCGAGCACCGGAGCTGAGCGGAGCTGAGACGGATGTCTCAGTGTAGACGAAGCAGCTGAGACGGACCGAAGGTGGAGAATCAGCTGCGGGATTTAGGTCGTAGGGTCATTCGCCCCTAGGAGAGATCACCCAGGTTCAATGAGATCTCTGACGTTTGAGGGGAGTGAGATCGCAGAAATCCACCCAGATCGCTGCAACGTGCATAGAGGTTTTGGATCGTCCTCTTCAGCAACATCCCCAAAACATATCTCCAGCCTGCATGTGCATGTTTTTCCAGTGCAAGGCGATGTGTACATGGTTCCAGGTGCCGAAACTGATATTGAACCGGATCAGACGCTCCATTACCAGGACCCGACTCTACAGGTCTCCGAAATGGTGGCTTTTGGAGATTTAAAAGTCGTGGGTGGTGACCTGTGAAGTCGGGTGCTGGTATAGATCATATGATCCCGCGACGAATGGGACTGCCGGACTGCCGATCAAGCCAGGGGTGGTGCCAGGGGGGTCAATGGATTGGCAGTCCGGACTGGCAGTCCCATGGAGCGTTTGGGTTTTAGTATGTTTGGTGGACAGAACTCCGGAGCCATTCATGGCGAAGCTTTCAGTGTTTTGATGGGGATGTCGAAGCACCTACAGCAACATGGAGCTATGGAGAATTGCTACTTAAGCTTCCGAACAAGAGGGGCTCCTGTGAGCTAACCGTCACCCATACTGTCCAACCGTCATCGATTCGAAGAACCACTGTTTTGATATGTTTTGATGGTCTAAATCCCAAAGAACCATGCGTTTTCACTAAGGATGTTTACACTACCCACAAGATCAACCATTCTTTCAGTCGAACTGAAGGCTATGGCCCATGTATGAAATAGTGGACCATGATGGAAGGCAGCTCTGTGGATGGTCTCTGGAGGAGGATGTCTTGGATAGAGAGGAGATCCATAGAACAAGAAAAAGGAGCTTGGGGGCACAAGGAGCCGATCTTTTCAGAAACCACTGTTTTTCCTATAGATATGTTTTTTTGTGACCCTGGCAAAAAGAGCTTCGCCATGGTTCCTGCCCGAACATGCCTGAACATCATTCGACGTTCTTTCTTTTCGTTGGGGTTCACATGAACTTCAATCCCCCAAAAGCTCCTGACAGGTGATCTGCTTTTCGGTCTGTTTGGGACCACACGTCGCTCCCGCGGTTCCGTCGTCGCTGCGTTTCAGGGCGGCGACTTGCGTTCGCTCCACTCTGACGGAGAGGACCCGGCACGAAGCAGATGGAACACTACCGTCCCAGACACGACCTGTTTGGGACTGCCAATCCATTGACCCCCAGGTCTACCACCCCTGGCGTTTTCTCGCCAGTCCGGCAGTCCCATGGAGCTCGCGTCTGGGCATGGTTGGGGATGAAGCACAGGTCGTGATAGCCGTGGTACCTGGACCTCACCGAAAAAACGAAGTGAAGCCTTGGTTTTGTGAACCCGCAAAGTTCTCACGACCGGACGTGCCACCGGTCGGGGACGTCCCACTCCCAAGGCCCGACGAAGCGGGAACGTCGCCGAGTGAGCGACCAGAGACTGAGACCAAGCGCGAGTGAGGCGTCTGGCGTCGATGCATCTGCCGTTTGGCTTCGAAGCTCCATGCAGCAGACGTGGTTTTAGGCTTTGAGGAAGTTTGAGGAACTTTGAGGAAGCGCAAGAAATGGGTTGTGGTCCATCGTGGTCCCCTTCCCCCCGAAAAAGAACAACGTTTTGTTACTGTGTGTCAGTGACAGAGCAAGCTAGCGAACAGAAATAGAAGTGATATCAGCTATACCCTGGCCTTCCAAGGCCATTTAAGAAATGGTTGACCCGTTTTTGTAGCGTAAAATCTAAATGGTTGTCCAGTATAACAGTATATCTATAGACTATATACTGTAACTATGAAACCAATGGTGGTTGGAAGCCTAGGGAATCTAGATCCCCAAATAGATAGAAAAGTAGATCCCCACCCACATCTTTCTCTTTGACACCGTGCCACTTTTTTGTTTTTGGACCACTCTGGACCAGTGGATGAACCAATGGGGAGACCCACCCACGAGGGTGGACTATAGTCTAACAGTGACCCCTCATTGGCGTCATTGGGATCTCTAGAGAGAAAGGAGCTCAGTTCCAGGAGAAAAGGGTCATGGCATGCAGACGCGCCGAGCGCCACGCTTCTGTGTGGATGAAGCTGGCTCAGCTCCGTGGCCCAGCTACGAAGCGTCGAGGACAACAGATCGTCGTGTGGTGAAAAATATTCCGTGCCAGCAAGTCGTGTGCAACAAAGACGGATCTAATTTATATTATAATACAAATTATTATACTGAATACTTTTTTGAGTCCCTGTTTTATTTCCCCCATTCTTTTCCTTTTTTTGAGGCTCTTTTTGATTCCCCTACTTGCCGAGATCTTCAGTTCGTTACCTCTTGACAGACCAGTGGGACCAGTGGCAGAGGTCACGAATTGTCCCAGAGCAGGTCATTGACAGAGAGACTCCAAGCAGGTCACGAACTGAAGGTCCTGGCAAGCAGGGGAATAAAAAGATGAATTTAAAAACAAAGGAAAAGAATTCGAGAAATATACAAAAGGGGCTCAAAAACAGTAATAAGTATAGTCATATGGGCACTCCGAACCTCCATGAAGCACCCCTTTTGTGACTGCTGGTGTAGAATATATTAGAGTTGTCTTGGAAGAGGTTGATATTCGGATCGTCCGAGACTCTCGTGGCGTTCTGGGGATGACATTCCCATGGAATCCGGAGTCGAATCGTCCAGGGAGTCGAAAATGGGAGACTTCCTGGACTGACCAGGCGGAGTCGAACTGGGAGGTGTGTAGAAGAAAACAAGATGCCTTATAAGTCATATGGTAGTGTTTACAATATGGTGTATGCCTATGGTGTATCAAAACAATATACTTATATATACTTATGGTGTATGCCTAAGTCAAAACACCTGTAGTGTTTTGGAGGTGTTAGCTAGGATCACATCCCAAACACTCCACAGTACGGCATAAGTAATCCCAGACACGACGACACTCCATGGGACTGCCAGGCTGGACTGCCAATCCATTGACCCCCCAAACCACCACCCCAATTGATCGGCAGTCCTATGGCAGTCCCATGGAGCGTTTGGATATATAATATATACCTAGAACCTGAATGACCTCTGTTTTGGACCACCAACCACCCAAAATATTGCCTTTTCCTGTCAAAACAAGGGTCAATTGGGTTCCAGGTATATATATATATATAATACCACGTCTGGCTATGTGAGTCGTCACACCGGTCGGCGGCACGCACGTTCCGCCCCAACTAGCGACTCCCCGGCATCTCAGGGAGGACCAGACCCAAATGAGGCCGGTGTTTGGATGTGTTTGGCCTCCCTTCTTTTCGGGGGCGAAGAACCTGGTTGGATGGCAGGAAGAGATGCATCCAAGAGAAGATGGAACAAATGACACTGATGCAACTGTTCGAAGTTTCAGAGTAGCAATATAGAGTAGCTATCGTGCTGTTGCGATGTTAAGATGGGATGACGCACCAGGACCTTGAAAGGGATCCAACGGCTGACATTCCCTAGGGCGCAGCCGATCGTATCCGGTTTGTCCCCTCAACGGAGACCGGTCGTGCTTTCCTTCGCCTATACCTAAACAGGGACTGCCATGGGACTGCCTACATTGGTATGGTTGACCTGGGGTCATAGGTAAAATATGTCCAGTCCCATGGACGAAAAACACCACCATGGTCAAAAAAATCCATATACATCCATATTCCATGGAGTGTCAAATTCCTAGAATCAATATACCACCATGGAGTGTTTGGGATAGTTTTAAGAAGACATGGTGGTTCGGTTTCGTGGGACCCAGTGGTTTCAGAGCTGAGACATGGCGGATGCCTATGAACCACCGATGGCATTGGGGGCCCAGACAGTGCCATCGAACCTCTGAAAGCGCAAAAAAAACCAGACACTCCATGCACTATGGCATATCAATGGTATGTAAAAATATACCATACAGAAGGTGTGTGTGTGTGTGTGTGCGAAAGAACCCGGTTCCGTTGAACCGTTAGAGAACCTTGAAAGCGGAAAATACATGGGGGTGGTTGGTCGTTTCTGTTCTTTTTTGGAGGGATGTTTGTTCATCAGATGATTTGAGCATTACTTTGATTGGGTTCCTTTCGTTCAAACAATCCAGTTTCTACCAGGACCCTCATGGAAGCCTATAGGTAGTGTGGGGTAGTCCATTGGACACCCCTTGGAGGGTCCAGGTACTACCTTTGTTGAAACCACATTCTTTGGTTTTCCTCATTTTTGCAGTTTCCTCATTCCCTCAAATCCAGGATCTCTACCTCACACCATTGGCACCGCTCGTGACCGGTGATGGATTCGACCGCGTCGGCGCCGAGTCCTTTGGGCTTCAAGGAGTCCTGCGAATCCGTCGACCGCCTCCACTGGTTCCGTCATTCGGTGAGAATTGTCACGTCCAAACACGTGAGACGCGAAGTCATACGTAAAGTGGTCAGATTGAGTCGAAGATTGGAGTTTTTTCTCACGCAGGAAGGGCGCGCAAATTTCATGTTGCTCTAGGAACAGGATATCATAGAATTCCCTGAACATTCGTCGGAATTGCAGATCTTGTGGACGGCCGGTGTCTTAGGGTTTCGCGGCAATGGCTTACGCACCTCGGCATGGTTGATGTGGGCTGGGTTTGCAAACACAGAGAGCGAGAGAGAGGGTGAGAGAGAGAGAGATATATATATATATTATAGAGGGCAGGGGCAGGGGGGTTCTGATTGGGAGATGACGCCCTCACCAGAGTCAGGAAACCGTGAGTCAGGAAACCGGCTCGTCCAAGCCATTTTGGCAGATTCAGGAAACTCAGAAACCCAGAGTCAGGGTACTCACCTTGCAGGTTGCGCTTCTTTAGGTTTTCTTGGGGCTTGGTTTAGGGCTTCACATGGGTTCACTTCTTAAGGGCTTCTTCAGGTCTGCTGTAGGCTTCACTTTCTTCAGGTTTTCTTTGGCTTGCTGGGTTCGCTTTTGTCGGGTCTCTTTGGTTTAGGTTTAAGTTTAAGGCTTCTTTAGGGATTCTTTGGGCTTGGTTTTGGGACTTCACTTCACGTTTAGGGCTGCACTTCTGTAGAATGGGCTTGGTTTTGGGGCTTCACTTCTTCAGGTCTAATTGACAGCGTCCATTACAAGTAATTACGATGTCTCAAACGGCCTTTGACCCCCCAGGTCGTGCGTCGCTCACTCAAAGAGCATGTGGTTGCCCACCGAATGGGATTACATATAGATAGAAGTTCGTAGATCCCTACGTTGAACATGTATTGGAAACCGTGCAATCCTATCTATTTGGGGATCACGTACTATATCCTCATTGGATCGCTCTCAACATCCCTCAAGATCGATATCGAGTCGGCCCGGTCCGCCGGTGAGCGGCGAGTGAAGGGCCAGGATGCGCTGCTGGCGCCAGTGCCACTCCCATGTGCCGACCATGAAAGCAAGACTCATGGGAGCGGCACGGGCCGTCTGAGCACAGATATGAAACCACACATACAGGAGCACGCCCAGGAGAAAACACATATGAGACCGGGCATAGGGCAGAGCACAGGCATGAGAGCACTCATATAAAGTGCGCACATGTGAGAGCAAGCGAAAGAGAACACACATGTCAGAGTGCAGGTGAGGGCGCACAATCAGAGCACACATATGTGAGCAAGGGCGTGAGAGCACGAGCGCACACAGATGAGAGCCCACACGTGAGAGCACACATGAGACCAGACTGGTGATAGCTTATAAGTTTACACAGGCGAGCAGAGAGGTTCACAGGTTGTTGCGCCGGCCACGAAATCCCCACGTCCGGGTTCACAAAGTGTTGCTACCGTTGCTGTGGCCATGAAATCCGAGCCTCGAGATTTACAAAGCGTTGCCCGCGCCATGAAACCTGCAATCGAGGTTTGCAACAAAGCGCCTGCCTCACGGCTTACAAAGTGCTGCACTGCACTGCACCTGCCACAATTATCAAACCATTGCAAACCATTGCGCCTGCCACAAAATCTGCGCCTGGACGTTCAAAACCCGCTGCACCATGCTGCACCCCACGAAGTCTGGGCATGAAATGGCATGAATAATGACAAGTACAGCGCTTGCCACGAAACCTGTGCACGCACGTTTACAAATCGCTGCGCCGGCTGCGCCTGCCGCACAATCTGCACACCAAGATTCACATCACGCGGAATCTGCCCTTGTTTTTAACAACAAAAGCACTTCCGAAGACAAGTTGGAGATGCCAAGACCCAGCTTGTGCGCGACAGGTTCCCAAAATTCTTCCAAACGGACCACGGACCACATGCCCACAATTCGCGATTCACTGCACCTGCCACGAACTCAGAGGACGCCAAGACCACAGCCAAGTCCAAATTGCCACGTCTCTGTGTCCAAATCTCCACATTGAAACAAAACGGTTTCGATCTGCACCTGTCACAGAAAGTTGACATCTGTTTCAGATCACATAGGCTGTTTTTGCGTTCAAAGAACCAGGCATAAGTAATCCCAAACACTCCATGGGACTGCCATATATGTCTACATTGAACCCCCCAAGCCACCCCAATATAGGCATATATGGCAGTCCCATGTGTCGCGTCTGGGATTGGTTGAACCATGGTGTGTTCGATCCAGACAAACGGATCCACGGATCCCTTCCCCAGTCGTGCTTGAGGTTGCGCAACATCCGCAGCTCTTGGCCCGGGCGCCCAGCTCGGCACCTGGGAGATGCCAACGTACGTATAATGCCTACCCAGGAAAAGTGGACAAGCTGCAGAACCTTTTTTGAGAAGTGGTGTCCCCACTAAATGATGGAAAAGGGTTTAATGTTATTTTCCAGGTAAAGGGCTCGGGAGTCAGAATGTAATAGAATATACAACTGCTGCACCAAGGCCAAGAATTTGGTGACTCCGTTTTGTATTTTTTGTTGCATGCAGTGGTGTTGAATCGGTTAATTTTGAAGATGATACACTGACTGTCCAACAATTTTATCATGTCCAAAAGTAACAAACTAGATGACCCCAACATCGTCTGAAAACCGTCTCCGCATTTGCATAGTCTGTGGCAGGGGTAAATACCCGATTTTGGGGATGAGCATGGCGGATTCTGCTGAACATATTTTTGGTGTGATTTGGGGGATCATGCGTGCTCCCATCACCCTTGCCGTGCCGAAGCCGGTTCTGGTTCTTTCCTTCACCAAGAGTTTGAGGTGTTTATTTTGAGAAACATACTATATATAGTCTAATCAAAACAGTCAGTCTAATCAAAACATAATATACAATACAGTCTAATCAAAACGTTGTCAGGTCATCAAGACCCATTTCACGTGTATACTATAAATGCCATCTCAGTGTCGCAGTTGTCATTGAAGAGTTCGATGGGGAGGGGTTCCAGGAGGGGTTGAGGAGGGAGGCGTCCCCTCGCGAGATCCCCGCTATTGATCCGTACGTACAGCGGTTCCAGGAAGAACATGAACGTATCCGTCAAGCCGCTCAAGCCCTCTCAAGCCCTCTCAAGGCATTTTAGGTATAGAACTGGCCGCCCAGCACCCCCAAAAAAAACAACAAAATGTTCCCTCTCCGACTCCGCCGGTGACACCTGATCAAGTCCTTTACCGGTGAAACGTGAAGCACGGATTCAACCTGGCCAGGTGTCGGATCGGTTTACCCTAACCTTCCGTTCGACCATGCCAAAAAGGGAACGACCTGGTTTTGTAGTCTTAACCCGTTGCTCCGGATTCGAACTGAATGAATGCTTGGTTGGAATCCTATAGTAGGGTATTTCGTGAAGAATCTCCATCTACAGGTGTTGCAGGTGATCGCTCACCCGCCTTCTGCAGGCGTCTGCAGGTCTTCAGCCCTTAACCTGGACACCTTTTCTCCGTACCATTCCGGGTGCCACGCATGGACTCCACCACGCGAAAACGATGTCGCGGAAAACGATGCGAAAACGTCACGTCGCGAAAACGTGAGGTGTCTGGTGGCTGTCAACCACGTGTTCTGAGCCCGGGAATCCCAAACGCCCCATCCTGCGATGACTCACCCGCGAGGGCGAAGTCGCCTCGTCCGTGACAGTGAGAGAGAGAGAGAGAGACGGATGAGACGGTGGGTGAGGGGGGGTGGGTGGTTTCTCTAGAAGAACGGGATGGATTGGGTTTTTTAGGCATACCTTGATGGGTCCAATGGGTGAGAAGAAGAGGCAACAGGCAGAAGAGAAAAGGCAAAAAAGGCCAATCAAACGCAGTTCCTCCAAGGTCAGACTGACCATGACCATCCCGTCACAATTCCTGCAGGTCCAACGAGTGAGTCGAGCGGGATCACTGCCAATCGCATCTCCAACTGAGAAGAGATGTTATTAACCTGAAAAAGGAACCGTCACCTAGGTACCTATATATGGATATATGATATATGGGATAGTCGAACAGTCGGGTGCTGCAAAAGTTCTCTTGGTGGATTGCCCAGAAAAGGTCTGGCTCTGGATCGCCACCACTTCTCATTCCACCTCAGGTCCGCCTGGCAACTATGTGGCTTGGCGGGATGGAGATGGCGTGTGTGTGTGTGTTGGATGGGTCGGGCCCAGTGGACTTGAAATGGGGGGCGCCAAAATGGCCAAGCTATTTGGGGGGGTCTTAAGACAAGTGAAGCAGTATGAGGTGGTCAAGATTGGTCAAGCACGAGATCAGAGAAAAGTTTTGACCTTTTGTTCGAAGCCAAAAAACTAAAAAAGAACGAAAGATGTTCATGTCTTCAAATTCCAAACAGGTTGCTAGCAACTAACCTTTAGGGATCCAAGTACCTTCTCAGAAGGTGATGTGTTCGACACTGTTATGTAGGTTTGGAGGGTCCAAGTACCTTGTGAGAAGGTACGACTGGATCCCTAAGGAACTAAGAGGTTCCTACCGTGAGACCAGGGCAGGGTTCGAATCCTCGGTTCGCGATGGTCGCAAACAAAATCTGTCGACCTTCGCGCCAAAATCTTGTCTTCGTCCTGCTCATTGCATGGTCATGTGTGTAGTGTGTGTGTGTGTGCCCCTTGTAGTCACAGGGATTCTTTTGAATTGTTTTGCTTTCTTTTACATCAGCAGGGGGACCATCCATGTGCTGTGAGCGATGGTCCAACGAAGCGGCCACAGTACATGCGGATATCTGGCCTGATCAGCCAGACGTACCTGCAGTAACAGTTTTTAACCTTCCGTAAAGGTCTAATGCATCTGCAGTTGTGCACGTACGACGTCAACCTGTCGCTTCGACTCCAGTTTGCGTTTTGGGCCACATTTCCTCTTGAAGACCCCCAGGCTCTTTAGCACTTTCCTGAACCTTTCAGGATTTGGGTTTCTTAGGCTGGCGTGTGGCACCGCTGTCAAGTCAGTATGCATATCCATAAGTGTGTCTCTCCCAGTGAGAGTCCGGGATGAGCCCGTAGAGTGCCTCCCGTGGACCCGTCGAACGGGTGTCTGTCGAACGTATCCCTTGCCCACATACAGAGCAGCTCGCAGCGAGCGTAGGTGGCCTAGGCCGAGAGAACTCAGATTTTTGTCTCATCTTTGGAGTTCCAAGTTGGCTCATGCCTTTACGTGCCCGCAGCGGTCAAAGCAGCCAGCCACTTTGGCAGGGCACAAGGTGACCATAGCGGTCGAAGTATTTTTGAGGTTCGTTGGAACCTGTCCCACTCTCAGGTGCACACACAACACTTACATTCAAACGAGGCAGGTCCCTAGGTGCTTCTAATGAGGTTTGGTTTCATCGGTTCTCGTCCCCTCCATTTGGTTCCTCTTTCATCCCTTCCCCTTCACACACTTTTGTTTCCTCTTTTCTTTCATGTCCGCCTGTCTTCATGTCTGGTCATCTCATCCTTTTCTTCGTTTGCGCGCACATTGGTCCCGGCCTTAGTGTGTACGTGCACTTCTACATACATTTTAACACAGGCTTCAGGTTGCCCAGGTCTTTACAATGAGGTGGGCTTCAATCGGGTGTCCCTGTGCACTTGGTTCCCCTTTCATTTCAACCACACACACCTTTGTCCCGTCTCGTCCTCTGTCATGTCTTCATTCTCTTATCTCTTGTGCACGCACATGTGCACATTTGCCCTCAACTTAGTTTACGCCTCCTGTGCCCCTTGTAGTCACAGGGATTCTTTTGAATTGTTTTGCTTTCTTTTACATCAGCAGGGGGACCATCCGTGTGGTGTGAGCGATGGTCCAACGAAGCGGCCACAGTACATGCGGATATCTGGCCTGATCAGCCAGACGTACCTGCAGTAACAGTTTTTAACCTTCCGTAAAGGTCTAATGCATCTGCAGTTGTGCACGTACGACGTCAACCTGTCGCTTCGACTCCAGTTTGCGTTTTGGGCCACATTTCCTCTTGAAGACCCCCAGGCTCTTTAGCACTTTCCTGAACCTTTCAGGATTTGGGGTTCTTTGGCTGGCGTGTGGCACCGCTGTCAAGTCAGTACGCATATCCATAAGTGTGTGTGTGTGCCAGTCAAGGTCAATTGCAGTAAAACCCATTGATGACGAAATGAACTTGTGAGCTCTATTCTACAGTAGAAGTGTGTGTGTGTGTGTGTTTGTGCATAAGCTCACCTGTGCCCTCATTGCGGTCCAGTGCGCATTCTCGGGCTCAGTGGTCACCATTCGCCACTGCTTGCGGCCAGGGAATCCTAGTGCAACCTGGGTGGTCTCAAGTCGACCTTGTATGGCAGGTACAGGTACAGCAGATTGGTGCAGCTTGGCTTGGATGTGCAGATTTCGTGGCAGGTGCAGAGTGGACCTCGAAGTGCTCTCTTGTTTGTACTTTGATGTGTGCTATCATTGATGTGTGTGTGTGTACTCTCATGCGCGCGGTGTGCATGCCATTTTGTGTGCACACGCAATCAGGATGCCATCAGGTAGTTCCCCATGGGTTTATTGTTTTTCGTGCTGTGTCCGCTCCTCCTCCTCCTTCCCCCCCTCCTCCTCCTCCTCGTCCTCCTCCCACCGTGCTGTATCCGCTCCTCCCGCCGCTTGTCCTCCTTCACTCACTGACTGACTGACTCAGTCACTCACTCACCCACCCAACCAACCAACCAACCAACAACCAACCACAAACCACCAACCACCAACCACTAACCACCAACCACCAACCACTAACCACCAACCACCAACCAATAACCAACCACGAACCAACAACCAACCACCAACCACCAGCCACCAACCACCAACCTGGTGCTCTGCAAGGGGTTGGATGTACGCCCAGGGGCCGCTGTGTCGCCGCATGGCAGGCGCGGTGCTTGGTGCTCGCCAAGGGATTGGATGTACGGCCGGGTGGGCAAACTTGTATGGGTCTGGCAGAGGTTGTAAGGTACTGAGAATCCACTGAAAGGAACAATTTGAATAGTCCCGCCTGCCAACGACGCGGGAACATGAGGAAGCTCGCGGCAACGCGAGCCGGACAGCCCATCTATCTCGCTATTGAATGATCCAGGAGGGCTGCCTTTGTTCCGGACAGATCCTGCCCTACTGTCGCCGGGCGTGAATGGTGTGATTCTCACCGCCATGAATTTGAAGGCTCTGCAAGCGACGGGTGAGGATGTTGCAGTGACTGCAGGCATTACCACCATTTCTCAGCCCCAATATCTGCTGATCACTACAAGCAGTTTGGAAGACTATCTGTATCGTGGCAACAATGAGGTCTTGGCAGGCATGAGCTGGGCCACCTATGGAATGTGGGTCTGTCGTGTCGAATTGCCTGCTTGTCCAGAGAAGTCAGTTCGAGGTGTTTTGCCGCGTTACATTGATGTGTACTTTGATCCGGCTTTCAAACTGTACAATTCTCGTGCCCAGCGCATCTGCTCAGAGCCTCACGTGCCGATGTTTGAAGGGTTCACCATGCCACCGCTCACGGTCGACAGCGAAAGGAACACGTACAAGCAGATACACTGCCACCCCACTTGGCATTCTGCAAGTCGAGGGCGTTGAGCAGGGCCAGGAAGAATTGGTGTTGCAGCATTTTGCACTCTATTCATCTCCCGTCAGGCACAGGTAGTACATCACACGCACGCTACACCACCACACGCTGACACACAGACACACACATACGCACGCACGCACAAATGACACGCCATCAGCACTCGCTCACTCTCATCCTTCCTCTACCCTTCTTTTCTACCCGCGTTTTTTCTTGTGCCTAGAGGGGTTGTCCGCTCCCGTGTCAACTTCACATGTGGGGTTATCCGGTCTTTTTTGGGGGAAATTGCGGATGATGTTTTGCGTGCTTTGGTCAGATCCGTTGGCTTTGATGCGACCGCAGCAGGGCATGGGGCATGAATGCCATGGCCAACACAGCCTCAGTAGTGGTGCATCATCCATCAAGATCCATCAAGCAAAGATGCAACGCCCTTGTGGTGTTGGTCCAGAGAACGGTGATACTCGGGTCATGCGTGTAGTTTTGGTTGTTTTTAAGAGATAAGGGGTGAGGTGAATTGACACAATAATTTTACCAATTATTTTGTTGCATTGTTTTTTTATATCAAACACGACTATGAACTATTATGAACTTTCCACCCAGACGAATCAAAGACATTGTCGCAAGATCCCCCAAGGTGTGTCGATAAAACCATGTTGACGTGTTGTGGTTTGCTTTCGGCATGCAGCCTACATGTTTTTGTTCAATCATATCAACGTACTGACCAACAAACATATCACAAACAAGCTACTTGTAGCATAGTTTGAAAACATTCATAAACAAAACATGGCCATCGAGTTCATGAGACTTCGTGAATCTCCCCGGGTCCGACGGCGTCCGACCGGTCGGGGTTCTCCGCGCCGGTTGAGGCGCCTCAACCGGTGTTGCTGTCGCCCACCGCAGGGCTGGTGCCTGGAAACCCTGAGAGATGGAAAGCTTCGTTGGAAGGAGGAAGGAGTCAGGAGATTGATATTTGGACCGCAGGAATCAAAGACCTGAGGAGGGACGTCAGGAGCCCGGTGAATGACTTCGACTCCTTGATTTCCAGATTCGGGTTTACCGTGACCTTTTCAAGAACTAACTGGGATCTCGAAGTCGGTCGGGAAGGTCCTGTGCCAAAGAATGTAAAAACTGTTCGGAGTCTCTTCACTGTCTTCACCGTTTTTGGGTGGTGTTTCCTCAACTGCCTCTTACTTTGTATCCTTCTCACAAAAGCTCTGATGTACACCAGGGGATTTTGGAAAGCATACATGACCGTGGCATGAACTGATTTCTTGAGCCAGTCGCGCTAAAGAAAAGGTTCCCCATGATCACACTGGTGAAATTGCAGCAGTCTTTGCACTTGCCAAGTCGCTGTCTACTTCGTGTCTTCTTGCACTTCTGTAGCGGACTGAGTTACAAATGCCTCGTGGAGTGGCCATATATTGCACGTGTCTGGGACAGGTCGTGTTTGGGTACGGAAGATGACTGGCAAATACTGTTCAGGCCAAGTGGACATCAACTAACTCGCTCAACTTGCTAGAGATGATGTGTGCGAAGCAGAAGGAAAATCAACTAGAGATGATGTGTCCTTTTTGGGGGGGGAGTGTCTGGGAGCCCTCTGAACTCATGGATCTCACAAGGCAAATGCCGAACTACGCGGTGCCGACCTCGGGCGGGGCGGCGAGGTTTCGGCGAGATCCGACGTCGGACCTTGAGTTTGGACTGAGAGCCCTTAGGGCCAATATCTTCTCAGAAGGGTACTCAAGAACACCTTAGTAAATCCCATCCGTGAGGCCGCCAGGCCCAGAACTTCTGAAAAGAAGGTGCTCAATTAGGCTTGTCGACCCCACCCTAAACACCTTCACAACACAGGAGGGCTTAGGAGCCCTATACTATTGGTGACCAAATCAGTAGTGCTAGGCATCCAATTCAATCACTTGTGGCCTCCAACCTAATAGCAAAAGGAACCTCGTAGGAATGGCTTCCAACCTAAGAGCGATGGCCTCCAACCTAACAGCTTCCAACCTAGATTGAGGGGCATCCCTCACATGCCGCTGTTTTTGGTTTCTATTTGGACCTTCTGGACCTACGTGGTCCACTGCGACCCCCAAGAACTTGAGCCCTTTCAGCAGAGCAGGCCAGTGCGGCCAGCTGCTCTCCTCCCCCCACTCGATCGAGATTAGGGGTCCCAGCAAGACTCCCAGCAGATAGTTTTTTGGTTCCACAGGATCCAGGAGAAGTGATTTCTGAGGGCGATGAGATTGCTCCAAAGCCGTTGCTCATCATCATTGTCGTCAGATATTGTGATGAAGTCACCGCAATGATGACGAGATCAAAACAGACGTAGGAGGAACAAGCACCGGGTAGACATGTCTTTGTTTAGAGGGTTCGGACATGACACCCGACCACAAGTATACATGGAATGGCATGAACGGAAGAAGTTCACCTTTCCCAAGATCAGGTTTGAGGGCGTTCAGCGATCTAAAGAGAATCCCCTTGTGAAAGTCTTTGTCCAATCACCCAACCCCCAGCGCGTGGGCCGTTTCTTTGGGCAGACTCACACACAAAGTTCAATCAAGATAATCAAGTGCCGCACTTGATTTGGATGAAGAGACGGCTTGCTACAAACCGAAGCTGTGAAGACCGGACAAGAAGACCTTGGACCAATCCTTTTTTGTGTGTAACTCAAAACTGGGAGTGTTTTGCTCCAACCACTCATGTGTCTTGCACGTGCATGTCTTTCGCATCAAAGGTCCATGAATGTGTTTTCAACTTCTGTCATCTTGAGCACGATGTTCAATGTTCCATGATTATTTGAATATGTTTGATGTTGATCACTGGAAAGTCACATGTTGTTTTTGATCATCTTTGATCATGGATGTTCCATGGATTTTTCAATTCACCAGCTTTATTCAGTGTTCCCACTCACCGGGATCTCGTTCCGTTCCGATTTGCTTTCCGAACACGTTGTCCGACTTGAGTGCTGAAAGAACGACATAAATACTGATCACCAGTGATAACGCTTGATGGTTACAACGAAACAGGTCTACAGCGGCCTTTTCAGGCTTTTCAGAACCTTGGCATACTGACTGGTTCACTTCTTGGCAACAGCAACATGAGTAATTACGTACATCTCGTCCCAATGTCTAGCACTCCTACAGCTACATATTCCCGTCGACTCTTGTTCGTGGTCGACCAGCCCCCGCCCCAACACCAAGTCCTGGGAAGGGTCAACCCCGACAGAACACACCTCCAGCAACGACCAGGCACCTTGTTAGGTCCAAGTGTTTCTAATGACTTGCAGCAATCTGAAATCACAGTCCAATCCTCTTAAACCTCCAGGAAAGGTTCAAGTGAAACAGTAAAGGACCACTTCTTGGGCAGTTCACTCCAAGACCTTTGAGTGTGGGTGTAGGATGTGGAATCAACATGTATGTCCTTTTCAACCTGATAGCTCGTCCAGCCAGTTTCTCTAAGAATAGCGGCCTAAAAAGTGGCAGTGGCGTGTACTGTATATGTCCAAAAACATGTTTTGGGAAGAAGAACAGGGAAGTCGCAGGTTGGCCCACATGATATGTCAGTAGCCTCCCAGCATTGAGCAGGATCAGCCATTGTTGAGGGACACAAACATAACACGTTGAAGCCACCGCCATGATTGGCGGAGCGTGAGAGATGACATGCCGCCTCCGGAAGTATCTTGGCTTGAAGTTTCAGCGACGGAGTGTCTGCTGATCGACTGGGTTCGAGAGAATGGGCTCTGTCTGTCGGTCAGGGTGTCAGACCGAGTCAGACCCTGAAGGACAAAAAGAGCTGATGGAAATAAGGGGTGATTGGGGGAAAGCTGGAAGATGCTGCAAGAAATAGTGGGCAATTTGGTAGGTTGGTTCAGATTGGGGGGGCTTCTTCGCCCGGGGAAAAAAAAGAAAACACCTCGCGCAAACTCGTCATCCATCTTGCCGTTTTGAAGTCAGGTCTCGATCATTTTGCCGGTCTACAATGCCGAAGCCTTCTTGGATGAGGTGCACTTTCCCAGCCGCCGAGACGAGACGAAACGGTCGAGCGAGGTCTCGGTGTAGGTCGTGGAGTTGGTCGAATCGGCGACGTGAAGTGGGTTACTGGAAGTAGTGGTTTCTTATGGAAAGACACGACCTGTCTGGGACTGCCAGTCCGGACTGCCAATCCATGGACCCCCAGGTCAACCACCCCTGGCTTGATCGGCAGTCCGGACTGGCAGTCCCATGGAGTGTTTGGGTATGGAAAGAGCTGTTGAACTATAGCTTCCCAGATTGGAGGAGGTTCAAGCTCGCTGTGAGGTTTAAGCTTTTGGAGTTTGGGAGGAAAGACTTTCGACCTTCATTGGATGCCTATTGTCATGCTGGTTGATCTTGTTGGCCAAAGAACCATGGCTTTCATCAACCGCTACTACAGCATCTAGTTGATGCTCATTGGAAACCTTTGAGGCCCGTGTCTTGCAATCTTTCGCATGTTGCAAGTGAACCGTTCGTTCCATGTCCTTCGATTTGGGATCTAAGCCATGAGCCGGTGCTGTTGTTCGAAACAACCGAGAGAGCCGCACGCGTCCCGCGCGTGCGAGCTCGCACGCGCGGGACGCGGGTTGAGGCTTTGGAGAGCATCTTGCAGCAGAGTTTTCTGCAAAAGGGAGGCCTTTTGGAGGTGGGGGGCGGTGATCGAACACGTGTGGCTCTGTGATCGAATTCTTCTCTTGCTTCTATATCCCAAACACTCCATGGGACTGCCATATATATGCCTACATTGGGGTGGTTTTGGGGGTCAATGTAGGCATATACGGCATACATGGAGTGTCTGGGTATGTGTCATATCTCAGGGAAGCACGTCACATAATAGACCGTCAGAGAGCGACTGGGGATTGTGGCGGTTTCGGGCATTTGGTCAATCACCCCGTCAGGAGCACTTCGAAATGATCAAATTACTTTACAGTGATCCCCACCACATTTCAACCTGACAAATGTTCTGGCATGTGTTGAAACATTATTTCGGCATGAATTCTGGCATATCTTCTGACATTCTTGCCGAACTTCTTTCTAGCGTCCTATTTGGCATATCTTCTGACTCGCAGTTGAGGTCCGGCGGGGAACACTACCAGCCGAAGCTTGCTCGCGGCTAAGGTCCGGCGGGGAACACTGCCCGCCGAAGCTCGCGGTTGAGGTCCGGCGGGGAACACTGCCATCCGGAGCTGGCAGTTGAGGCCCCGCGGGGAACACTGTTGAGGTCGGGAGAAGCAGGATGAGGCGGAGGAGGAGAAGGAAGACGGCAGCTGACATAAAATCTAACAACCCTCATCTGACAGGTGGGGAAAAAGACACCTCAAAGCGGCGTCTCGAAAGTTGCGAACGCTTAGAACCTCCAGACCCCTGCACGGACCCCCGAACCGACAAAAGAAGTTTGATTCCCCCTCACTTAGATGGGCCTGGTCTTGACTGATGTGTTCCGGGCATTAGCCATTACATTCTAACAGTGTAACAACAAATTAATAACAGCCTATAAAGTGTGACAATGTCTGTGATGAACAGTACTGTCTTTAGTATTTAGAGGGTTAGCAGGGTTAGGTGCATTAGCACTAAGGGCGTTAGCAAGGTTACATGTATGCCAAAGCATTGTAAATAGTAAAATTTTTGTATACCAACAGCTGTTGAAAAAAGAAGACGCATTTTTGACCAAGGATTTTGTTTTTCTGTCAAAAGTTTGCTTCTGGCTTCTTTTGCCCTTGTAAGCTCAAACTCGCATTGCTCTTGGAAACTCGTTCTCTTGCTCGTGCAAACTCATTTATCCTGCCGCTCTTGCAAGCTCAACCTTCTGTTTGAACACAAAACCTTGCTTGTGCACAGCTCATTTCTGGTCCTGGTACTGAACAAGTTCTTGCAACCATGCCTCCTAAAGTGGTCATGGGGCGCTAGCTTTGGTGATGACAAGTTGTGTGTCATCCCGCAGGGCTTGGTGCAGCACCACTATGGCAGGGAGTGGCTGAAGCTTCAGTGGACTTAACCGGCTCTTTTGACATTGCTGTGCTCAAGCTGTATCTTCAACAGCGTTCCCAAGAATGCAAGTTTTCCATCAAGCCGGAAGGTGCAAGAGCTGAAGGCTGAAGGACATGAGAAAGAAGGCTTTGAATGAAGCACCTGCAGATGCTCAAGCGACCTTTGAAGAGATTGAAGAGGAGAAGGACCACCAGCCAAAGAAACAGAAGAGGACCAGTCCACAAGTGGTGACACTGGATGTCTTGGGCACAGCTGTTGAGATCTCAACTCAAACGTCCCAATTGCTACAGCAGGCCCGCTCTGTCAGAGAGCAAGAGAGGCAGAGAGTTGCCTGGGGCCTTCTGCAGGATGAAAAGGACTGCTGCTTGCCTTCTGTTTGGGAATGTGGAGGCTGTGGAACACTTCTCCTTCTTGCAGGACCTGCAGGAAAAAGAGGTTGGAGAAAGGGAGTGCTGGCCCGGACTACAAGGTGAAGAGGCCTGCGCTTGGAAAAAGGAAAAGGAGTAGGAGGCCCTGGGGTCAAAGAGCCTGGCTGCTACGCACGGAGGAAATATGCGGAACCCTGATACTCAGTGCTGGGAGCTCACGGAGGATGCAGATTTATGACTTGGCCAAGCGACAGCAAGAAGCCCCAAAGCCAGAAGGAGGCGAAGCAAGAGCCTCAAGAGAATGAGGTACAGGGACACTGCCCGCCGAAGCTCGCGGTTGAGGTCCGGCGGGGAACACTGCCATCCGGAGCTGGCAGTTGAGGCCGAACAATGTTGAGGTCGGGAGAAGCAGGACGAGGCGGAGGAGGAGAAGGAAGGCGGCAGCTGACATAAAATCTAACAACCCTCATCTGACAGGACACCTCAAAGCGGCGTCTCGAAAGTTGCGGACGCTTAGAACCTCCAGACCCTGCACGGACCCCCCCGAACCGACAAAAACAGTTTGATGCCCCTCACCCTTGTCCCCTAGGAATCCAACCTCATGTTACTTTGATGGTCTTTACATGTCTTGTTGAAGATACAACATTCCGGTCTCAACTATTCAGTTTCATTCAAAAAACGTCTCAAACAACTCCCCCCGAAGTTGTCTCCGCCGCCCACCGCCGACGGTCGCAGGTCTCCGCCTTCGACGATGGCAGCAGCGACGGCAGCGCGGCCGTGCTGCAACGCTGGGCCGAGCGGCTCACCGCGGCCTTTCCGGAGAGCGGCGTGGGTCGCGCAGATCACGCTGGTTGAGTGGGGGGAATAGGATGTTGGGGTCCAACCTGAAAAGTGGAGAAGCTGCAGGAAACGTGTAAGGGCTAAGGCGGTTAAGGTGTAGAAAAAGCGGAGAAAAACTGAGAACTCCATTTCTAAGATCTAAAGGTGGAAAGTGCGGTTCACCTTCACGATGTTCTCGGGATCGAAGTGAGGCGAGTTCGGGAGTCATGTGACTGTTTTTGTTTTTTTGTGAGGCGCTGAGGGGCTTGAGTCTCAGAAGCTATGCCTTTGGACGCAAGTCTCGGAGGTCTCAAACAAGGTGGATGGGTCATGTTCAATAGGGAAACCTCTCAAAAGTCCGACCCGCCTAGAAGAAGGAAAACAGATTACAACCCCTTGGGCCAGGGGGTTCCTACGTCTACTATTTAAATACACACCCAAATGATCTTGCGGAGTAGTGGAGGATGCTCGTGGCACTGGGCTCATGTTGGAGCAAAATCCAGCTGCTTTGGGCGGGTGAGAATCCTCCCGTTTTGGTAGGATTGGCTGTTTTGAAAGCAGCCAAAATCCATGAGCTGTTCTAAAAGAGTGTTGCAGGTGATTAGGGTCCGAATTCAATTTGCACAATTGATTAAGGGGTGGGTGGTATTAGCTGTTCTGATAGTTGTCAGATTGGATCGGAGCACTCGCTGCTTTTCAGTTCTCATGACTGGAGGTCTCAGTCGGGGTGTCCACTGACTGTAAAAGCCACCCCGACATGTGACTCCTGGTCCTGGGTCTTCTTAAAGTTTGTTGCAGTGCTTTTGCCAACCTTGTACGTTGATGTGACTTGGGTTGCTCCGGACCGGGACAAATCGCACTCTCGCCTGCATTTCGCGCATCTGACACGCACGATCTCCGCAGAGGGTTGCTCCGGACCGGGACACATCGCACTCTCGCCTGCATTTTGCGCTCTACATGCACGATCTCCGCAGAAGGTTGCGCCGGACAAAACCAAATCGCACTCTCACCTGCATTTCGCGCATCCGACACGCACGATCTCCGCAGAGGGTTGCCGGCGACCAAACCAAATCGCACTCTTGCCTGCATTTCGCGTCCTCGACACGCACGATCTCCGCAGAGGGTTGCGTTTCGTGGCGGTCCGGTGGCACTGCCCCCGGCCTTAAGAGAGAAAGTTAAGAAGAGCGAGAGGTGAAGATGTGAGATGTAGATGAGAGGTAAAGATGTGAGATGTAGATGTGAGGATGTGAAGATGAGCAGACATGTAGATGTGAGGATGTGAAGATGAGCAGAGATGTAGATGTGCAGATGTGAATGTAGATGTGAACATGAGCAGAGATATAGGTGAGAATGTGATTGTGCATAGGTGAAGATGTGAAGATGTAGATGAGGTGTAGTTCTGCTGAAGATGTAGATGAGGTGTAGTTCTGCAGATGATTTTAACGAAGAACCCTTCGCAGGCGCTCTCGGGAACAAGGTTTTTTATGAGACCGGTGGCAAAAACGATGACATGCAGGGGTCTTTTCTTGCTACTTGCTCCGTTCGTAGTATGGGCAGGAGCCCCGTTCGTAGCGTCCTTGCTCCGTTCGTAGCGATGCCAGGAGCCCCTAATAGCTTCTTGTTACTCCAAACCATCGTCCCCCTTCTGCTTGAGCCAAGGTAACAATGGCAGCGGCATAAACAAATGCTTTGTCTGCATCAGTGTGACAGGAGCAGTCGACAAGGCGCTCGGTTTTTCAAGCCAAACGGCTTTGGAATACCGTACTTTGACGAATGGCAAGATGACAGGATATTTGGGAGCGCTCCCAGACGATGTTGCCAGCTTCAGGCAATTTGGTGACACAGGATTGTTCACTCTGGATTACACTGCTGCCCGCACTTCGGGATCCATTGCAGGCGGTCCCCTGCAGGCATGGGCGCGAGACTCCGACGCCTTCCTTGCTCAGCACCACACATTGAACCCAGCTGCGCATGGGCAGGCGGCTTTGGACCCCAACCTGGTGACAGCGACCTACGCAGATCTTTTCCAGATCTATGGCATGGCTCCAGGTGCATCAGACGGTCAAGCATCTTGCCAACCTGAAGGCCATTCGAGGCGCTTACCAGAAGTTCACGACGGCCTTGGTAGGAGGCCAGAACACAGTAGTGGTCGATGGCAGGATTGGAGACATCCGGCCGGTTGGTGCTGCAGCTCCAGCAGGAAGAGCCACCAACACAGGTGCGTGGCCCGGAGCAGCACCTGCATCAGTTGCTGAGTGCTTTGACCAATTCATCGTGGCGACGTTTTCAGGGGTGCACATCGACGTACTTGCTATTTGGAGCTGGGGCCAGGCGGATGCGATTCGTCAAGCAGCTGGGGTGAACCAATGGGCACTACACCGCACTATAGTCGGGTCGTCCGAGTGTCGGAGGAGACCTTCACCTTCACCTCCGGCGCCAACGAGGAGCGCCTGCGCGCCGCCCGGCGGGGCGAGGCGCGTGCCGAGGCCTATGCAGAGGAGGAGAGCTGTGGGAAGGAGGGAAGGAAGAGGAAGGGAAAATCACAAGGGGGGAGTCTGGGAATGCTGGCATGAAGAGATTGAACATGATTGAACCATATTTCGGAGGATTCCTGGACAAAGCCCTTTGTTTTTCAAGGGTCTGAATCCCAGTGAAACCAGCATTTTTCCAAAGAATGTTAGATTCCGTCGAACGATGTCGAACAGTGTCGGCTGGAGTGTGTCGACGTCTAATTATTCAATTCATGTGGATGTGGAACGCGCGCGGTGCGTTGCGTCGTTTGACTCCCTTGACACCGGTGGCGACTGCGTTTGTTTGGCCGTTGGCCACCGTAGAAGTGGATGGTTCGATCTCAGAACGTCTGCCTTCGGAGTTCCCAGTGCGATCGGGAGAACTGGCGAGGTAGACGAACTGTGAGGTTCGGTGTTTGGTGGTGTTCGCAATGACGAAGCCCAACAACGGAGCCCGGGGGGTATCCAGTTCTTCCTCAAAGAGCTACAGTGATTCTTTGCTCCAGTTGTTGGGCCATGTTGGGCCCTTCAGTGCGTCTCTTCTCTTCCCAGACTATTTGCATGAGAGAAACCAGCTAGGAAAAGGCTAACCCCGGTCCAAAAGTCAAGCAGCACATACGCCGGTGTTGGCGAAACTGACCCAGTGGGGGATCTCACGTAATCTAGACGTGCGTGGCTGCGGATAGACGCCCTGCAATTGCAATCTCAGGGAGTAGCACTAAAGGTTTGGGATGGGAACTACATGGCTCTGGGGTTGTTTTGACCATACTTCAAAGGAGCACGTCAGTCTGCAGGAGCACAGATCCACGTTTCAATAAGAGGTGGATGCAATCCATTCAGCTTGGGTGTGGAGTGGGTACAAAATGGTACAAACCACTCATTTTGCTGACATGGAACAATATTGAGTCGCTGGGTGGTCTTCTCATGCCAGAACTCCTTTCTTCTTCGTTCCTGGTGAGCAAGACAAACGTTCACGTTACCCTCCGGCCTCCTCAAGCCTTCCCCTCAGATCAAGGGTTCCGGATCTCAAATCCGTAGGGTTTTAAGGGACCGGTCGGCCTGGGCCTCACCACTCGGCCTGGGCCTCACAGGCTGAGGGATTGGATTTGCATACGAGGGTCCATGGTATGACTAGTTTGGATGCTTTTTGAGGCTCTGTCTAGAGTGTACCATTGCCTGCAACAGGCGGTAAAGGATGCTTTACAGGTCTTTACTAATCATAATCTTCATCATCACCATCATCATCCACTGTTCCAGTGAATGCAGGGTACCGCTTAATAACGAAAGTCAGATTCTAATAACAAAATCAATAATTTAATAGCGAAGCTGAGGGCTTCTAAGTGCGAAAAGAAAAGACTCTGGCAACAGTCTTAGAAGGAGATATCTGGACTACCATGCTCGAGCTGTATCCTTGAGCTGTATACTTTTGTTGAGGTTTCATAGTTTGGCAAAACCCCTTCAACAGGGGGGTGGGATTACGTACACCGTGGAACAGGCCTGGGCGTGCTTTGCCGTGCGAAGGCGCGCCGTGCAAAGCCAAACAGCGGCTGCCAGAAGCGCAAAGCCAATGTCGCTGAAGGGGCCTTTGTGGTGGAAGCAGTTGGGCAATGGTTGGTGCATCCCTCGCAAGAAACTTCTCACACTTGGTGAGAAGTTCCATACCCACTGAGCTCAGTCGCAAAGTTCAGTGCAACTCAGCGATGGCCTTGCTCCAAAAGACGGCGGAGTTGTACATGCAGGAGATGTTCACGAAAGCCTTGTTCGTGTCCAACCATGCTGGCTAGTGTTTGGAAGTGGGACCTAAGTTGCCACGCCTGAGTCGTGCAGACTCCCAGACCTGGGCGTGCTCTGTCCAAGAAGCTCTGGACAGGAGCGCGAAGCAGTTCCCGCGGCTGCAGCCACGTCGAGACCAGAAGTGAGGTGAGAAGAACATGGAGGATCATGGGGGATCTTGTTGACCAATTCTCACGGTGCGATCTTTGGTGTGGTAGCACCCAGTCATGATTGGAAGGGTTGATAGTCGAAGAGTGTGTTTTGTTGGGGGAATGGAATGCCAGTCCATCCCATGGTACCTGACTGGATGAAGATAAGATAAGAAAAGACCCTGTTGGTCCCTGTTTCATTGAATATTATTGGAATACATGGCTGCAGTGGAGGTTCATCGATCGTCGAGTAGGGCACTGAACACGTTGAAATTCAAAGACCGTGCAAAGTTTAAAGTTCAGAACATCCTCTACAGAGAGTAACTATTATGAGTAACTGAAAGTTTCACTATTGAGGGTAAGTTTCGTAATTAAGACACACTACTTTCGCTTTAAAGGGCAACAATTTCATAATTACGAAACACTCATTTTTCGCAACAAAAAGGGCACCCTCCAGTGAATGGTATATACCTAAGCTACAACACATCACCCATCATGTGTGATTTTACGCTCGCGTCCACCACCCATCATGCACTCCACCACCCTGTACCGTGCCTTGGCTTAACGTCGTCAGTGGGCCCAGCAGCTCCGCCAGGAGCGACCCAGTCAGGACCCACCGAGCCGCCGCCCCAGTCCGGACCGCTGCAGCTTGTGTGCTCGGGCGACGGCTCCCGAAGTGCCTCGGAAGCAGGTCCAGCGCGGCGAACAAGCGGTGAAAGCTAGACTCACTTGGAGTGAACCTGTGGATCACCAGGTGACCAAGAACTGGAACTGTGGGAATTGGAGGAGGTTGAAACCCACTTCAAAACGAAGAGGTGGAAAGTGTTGTTCACCGTAGTATCGAAGGAAACTGAGGGCTCACAGGAAGAAAGGTTGGTTCACCAAGCTCTTTTCTAGCGATCAAAACGGCTAGGGAGTGAGTCAAAAGCGTTGGCAGTAGGTCCCTAGCCGGCCCTGTTGCTTGGGAAGAATGCTGACGGAGAAGTGAACCACTTCCGCTAAAGCTCCAAAAGTCAGCATTGCCAACATGTTGAACGATCCCATGAACCCAAAAAAGCAGACAGAATCAGAAGCATGTTGCAGGCATCATCCACTTATGAGAACCACTGGTTTTTACACAGAGGGTCTTTTGTTACAGATGTGTTCCTTTTCCTGGAAAACATGGCAGTCCCACCGGTTGTGTCAACATGCGATTTCATGCGAATGGTCTGATTTCGTTTCAGGCAGGTGTCTCTTTTGGACCACTTCTGGTGGCCTCACTGTTCCTTGCTGCAGAGGAAGCCAACGGTTCCAGACATTTTCCAGTTTCGTTACTGCTCGCGTTTGGCGGGGAACAGACTGGACCCTCTCAGGCCTTGCAGCGGAAGAAAGCCAATGGCGCTGGTTACTGCGAGAGCTGCAGGCAGCTCTCGAAGGAGAGAGATACGAGGGGATAGTCCGATGCACCCAGTCGAAGGATGAGGGCTCTCGACGTGGTGCTTTTTGTATGTCCTTATACTGGCGGTCAACAAAAACAAGCTCACTCAAGTAGACTGACCGGTGGGACGACTGACATAGCCAGACGTGGTATATATATATATATCCCAAACACGACGAATGGGACTGCCAGTCCGGACTGCCGATCAGTTGGGGTGGTTGACTGGGGGGTCAATTGATTGGCATATGCGGCATACATGGCAGTCCCATGGAGTGTTTGGGTTTGGAGGTGTCAACCTGTAACAGTCGGTCTATCATCATCCACTTATTACAGGGAATTGGATATACCCAAGCCCTATAGAAGTCCAGGTCGACCATATTTCCACCGACAGGTCAGTAAAGGAAGTTCCCAAACTCAGGTCCCCCAGTCAGCCTATGTCAGACTGTTCTTTTGGGCTGAAAATGCTTTTGTTGGATAGGCTGTGAGGATCTTGTCTCAATCGCAGCAATTCGTGGCAAGACGAAATCATACACAGGCGCTGTTTGGAAGTTGCTGGAAAATCTTGTTGAGAGTAGAAGTTCTCAGCCAAAAGTGCATCACTCCTGGGAGGGTCAATCCATGATTAAGTGAAGTCATAACATTTCTGTTTCGTTGCCTTTCCATTGGCAGCCCCCCTCCTCCGGCAGCTGCTCAGTGAGTTTGAGTCTCCACAACATGATCTACTGCCGACAGTTCCATGTTGGGGTGCTATCCATGGAGGTTGGTTGTTTGGGTGCCCCTGTCACATCCACGGCCCCTGAATGGGAAGAGGCACACCACCCAACTTCATGTGACTCAGGGTGGAGACCGTTAGGGTCTGTCATGTTACCTTAGAATCGCCGACCTGTTGCGGATCTAGCCATCCAACCAGGGCAGCAGGGGCTGGCTGCACTAAAACTTCCACCAAGAAGCAGCCAGCCAGCGGAATGTCCCACGTATACCTAGATCACAGTGGAGAACCTTCGTCCTCATCCGGGGGGAAGACCCCCCACGACCTTTCTGGGATCCAAGAGCGAAGCAATGAACCCAATAGAAGAACCCAATGAAGACCTGTGACCTCTATGTGTGAACTCAGAAGAGTTCCAGTGAAATGACTTCGCTCAGAAAACGTACCTCGACATCTTTTCAGACGGCCCTCGTGGGCAACGTGATCTTCATGGATCCCAAATACCACCGGTCGGACTGCCATCTTTGCCAAGAAAAGGCCAGGGGTACTTCAGTTCCAAGGGTAGGTGGTTTCAGGTGTCAATGGGGCGGCAGAAGATGCCAGTCCTCTGAGAGAGGTGGGCCCATGCTTGATGGAACTGGGCCCACCTTGACAGGCCCATCCTTTTTCCTGGGCCACCCCATCAGTTCTTGGGGGACTGCCAGACTAGAGGGCTGGGTGAGTCGACCCTCTTCAGGACTGAAGATAGAAAAAATTGGCATGTGGACTGCCAGTTCCTTCCATGGAGGTTGTGTTTCCGGAGTTCGATGGCCTTTTACTATTGAGTTGGTTCGATTCATCGAGGGGAAGGCACGACATGCGGCGGGGCGGTTTGCCCGTGAAGGCACGACCGGTGTGCCTGCCATCTTTGCCAATCAGTTGGGGTGGTTGAAAAGGTTCGGCCATGGGGCGGCATAATATGCCAGTGCTACTGGTCGTGTCTGGGATAGATGACCAAGCTCAAAGGTTGTCTTCATGTCTTCGTGTCTTCGACCAACCCGCGGCGTCCAGTTTTCCGTGTCCAGAGGATCCTTTCGAGGTCCTTTTTTTGGCCATTCAAAGAGTTCGGTTGATTTGGTTTTGTCGTGTAAAATCCTCAGTGAAAACCCATGGGTGTTCGGTATTCAGGCCGTTGATTAGACTTAGAAGCCTGGAGGTTAGTCATTCTGAGTGCACCGGGCTCACAAAGACCCATGTTTCATGAGTGAAATGAATTTTGCCCACAAACTCCATGTGTGAAATAGTCAGAACACTCCCGTGAATCATGGAAGTGGACGGCTTGGCCCCTTCCGAATGCCAAACGGGTGGTGTTCGCTCCACATCACCATGATGTGTATGTACTTCATTTATAGGACATTTTAGGACCCTAATGTAAGTGACTAGGGATCCAGTCGTACCGTACCTCAGGTTCGGTACGACTGGACCCTCCTGGCACACACAGTCATGGTGTCTCCTTCCTCACCTAACCTGAGGTTCGGTACGAAAACGGATCCAATGTACCTGGACCCTCAAACAGGTGTTTCCTGGTGACAACAGGTGTCCAGAAACCACCTGTTAGGCTTCTAAAACCACCGGACTTGGAAGGTCCTGGTAAGTGACTATAGTCCAGTCTGATGGATCGTTTTGGGGTATTGACATTGACGACCCCCGCTCGACCCCAACGGTTCATGGTTGAGATCCGGCTCACGTCCCGCCGGACCATGCGCGCATGGTATTCCTGGGTCCTTGGGGGATCTTCTTCAAGCATCTAGTATTATGCGTCATCCTGCTCTAACAGCTGCTTGGACGCCAGGAGGAGTGGCAAGCCAAGCGCCGCGAAGCCTACGAGCGCCGCACCGGCTTACGCCGCGGCGGCGCTCCCGCCGCAGGCGAAGGCGGTGCGCAGCGCGCGCAGAGGCCGCAAGGAGTGCCGTGTGGCATTGGAGTCTAGGCAGAATTCTGCCACCTCCCCCACTGCCCACCAAAATCCATGGCTTCGGTGGACGTTCCTCATCAAAAGCGATTTTTCGTTTTAAGGGGTTTCAACCATGGTGCTCCGGGTCAACCGCCGTGCCCAGTGTTCCATCCGATTTCAGGCCACGACTCGATTTCGGTTGGCTTTCCTCCGCTGCCCGACCGCGACCGGCTGAAAAGCTCTGGAAGTCCCGGTCGGCCATTCGTTTTAAAGGTTTGACTCATGACTTGGTAAAACCAAGTTTCCTCGGTCAAACAAAGCTTCACTTGTTTTACCTTATTCATAAAAAGGGGTTTACTTATTTATGTTGACTGTGTTTTGTAGTGTAAAACGGTGTGAAAACAATTCTTTGGTATACCAAGACATACGAAAACGAAATGAAATCAATGGTGGGTGACCGAAATCCTGGAATGATGGAATGTTTCTCTCATCCGGATAACCAGGTGAACGAACTAGACGACCAACACATCAAAGCGAAAAGAAGCTGAAAACTCATCTGGGTGTGGGTCAAACCCGGGAGTCCTTGGTTTTTCCCATGGAAAATGAACAGAATGGGCGACCTATTAGGGAGGTCAACCTACCAGAATTAAAAAATCCCGGTTTTGACCCACAGCCATTTGTTTTCGGAGATCGTCGCGGGAAATGGTTCCGTTTTTGTTGCTGCTATACCTGATAGATGACAGTATATACAGTGAGTGTGTTTGGAGAAGAGATTCCGCAAGAAGTCATGTCTTTAAAGCTGCTGTAACTGCTGCATGTTGAAACATGTGAACATATATGTGAACATCATAGTCATTTAAGCATGTTTAACAATGTAAAAGAAGGAAGAAAGAGGAACCAATGACACCATATTCATGTTTTCATAAACATGTTTAGAACACTTCTGTGATGATTGAACCTCCTCCCCGACTATCTAGCTGGGCCCCATATGAGTGGATCCATCAGTTCTCCAAGGAACCAATGAAGGAACCACTGACTCCAAAGGCAAACCAAGAGAGGTTAAGTGAACTGAAAAAGGAAGGAACCTTCTGGGATATATCAACTGGGACAGTGCGAGATATAGTAATGGATGGTCGAACTAGGGTTGTGAAAAACCTCTGTCCAGCAGCCCCACTTCAGCCTCGCGCGGTCTCTAGACTGCACTGCCGGCTGAGGATTCGCTTGCAACAGCGCCATCCGCCAAAGTCGCGGTGCTTTGACGGTCAGTGATGGGACGGCGCGATGGGACGCAGAGATTCCCCACGGAGCAATCGGTGGAGGGTTTGGTTGGGGTGAAGATTCATCCACGTGCTGGAAAGTGTAAAGGGTGTTCAGGGTCCGGACACCTGCGAACTGCAGGGTTCAAGGACTTTTAGCGATCATAAGTGTTAAACTGTCAGGTCACTTGGAAGACTCTTTTGCGCTGCCAATGGGTCTGGGGTGAGCTGTTCAAAGAGGCCACCTCTTCAGTAGCTGGAGGGCTCAACATCCCGCCCTTGGATGTGCTTCCGCCCATCTTGCTCATCTCGACGGCTAGTCGATCCGGGCTGGGCAACCGATTTGTCATGGGTTTTGCCAGAGCTCACACGATCTGGTTGCCAATCCCTGGTAACAACATGATGGGGGGCTGTTGGCAATAACTTCGGAAAGTGGAGTCTTCAGGAGGTCGGTGGTGGTCGTCGTAGGATTTGTGTTGCGACTGGCCGCAAAAACTATCTACAACAACCCAATTTTGGATCAAATGGCTCATGTCATGTCATCCTATATACTTAAAAAGGATCTTATAGGTCACCATGAGTGGGTTACCATGGGATACCCATGATCGCTTCTTTTTCTTCTCCCAACAAAACCACCCATGTACTAAGACAGGTTCTTTGGAAGGCCACCAGCATCTGTCCTTTTTCCTGACGGCATGCTGGTGCCACAACAGGTGTCAGGTACTTGCTTCCGGCAAAAAGCAGCATGGAACAGGATAGAACTGAGTTCGAACGATGTTCCAGTGACCACCTGACGTCGGGGTGCGACCGTCACGTCACATCCACGAAGACCAGACAGACTCTTGAGGACCATAACCACCCCCAATTGAACGACCTTTTCATATGGGGACTTATGGTCCTCCAAGAGTCTACATTAAAGGCCACCCAACTCCATGTGACTCCGCTGCTTCTTTCAGCCCAGCGTCACCCTCCGCGCCGTCGCAGCCACCGCGCCGTCGCATCCGTCGCCCGACGCGTCGCCCGAGGGACCTTCCTTTGCCGTTTTGATGCCGACGACGTGATGCACCCCGAGCGCGTGGAGCGGCAGGTGGAGGCCCTCCGCGCACAGCGGCTCGGCACGTGCTGGCGAAGGTGTGATGTGGTCTTCTAGGGCCGAGTCTCAGGTGATGCTTTTTGGTGATTTGTCCCGGTTCCTGGGTAAATCCACTTCTATATAGGGAATGTGTGTTGCTTTTTCTCTTCTAAATCTAAGGAAAATGAGCGAGTTTTTGTTGGCTGGTTTCTAAGCAAATCCAAGTCTTTCAGGGAGTGTACCATGCAAGAATATCCTCTTTCGGGGGGATTGGTTTCCCCACTAAATATGAACTTGGTGGAAAAAGGTTCACCGTTAATCTATTGTTCAACGAAAACTGAGGGAGTCTGGGATGAGATGTGTTGTTCTTTTCCGGCTCCTGGGAAGCCAATCCAAGTGTGGCTGTAGAGTATGGCTTCAGCCGGGCAGATAGGTCTGACGCTCGGTCAGCGGAGTAGTGGATCTTAGGGTCCAAAAGGCGAAAGAGTGGATCTTAGCCCATCAGCAGATCCCAGACACGACCTGTCTGGGACTGCCAGTCCGGACTGCCGAGAAAAAGCCAGGGGCGGTGGTGCCAGGGGGGGGGTCTGTCTGGGGCGGCAGTCCTATGGCAGTCCCAAACGTGTCGTGTCTGGGGATGGTATAGATAATGACCTGGCGCATCAATGATGGTGGGCTGGATTAGCTTCATGGCACAAGGGCCGGGTCAAACTACGGACACCCCATCTAAAAGATCTTGGGTTTGGTGTCAACTACTCTGAAACCACCAGATGCAGCCTAGGATTCCAACCACCATTAATTTGAGAGGCTTTAACAACCATATTGTTGTACTAAGAATGTCACGCTACAAAACCAGGTCAACCCATTTTTTCGTTACGCTAAATATATCTCATACACGGTGTTTGTTGCAGGGAACTTGTCCCCCCCCCCACACTCCTCGCTCCCCGTCCCCCTTGCGCCTGTCCCGCCGAGGCCACCCGAGCTGCGCGAGCGCACGATCCTGGGCACCGGCTTCGTGCGGATGCCGGAGGACGGGACGGGCGGGAGCGGGTGTTCGCACGCAGCGACCGGGGTGGGAACGGGTCCCTCCGATCCGAGGATTCAGCTCTTTGCTGCGATGACTGGAGGGAACTCCTTGTGAAGAGCTGAGTCCGGGGCACTCTGACTGCAAGTCAGGGGCGGCTGTTTTTCGTTGGCTGCAGTTGTTGGTAATGTAGTACCCTGCGAATCCCAAGGCATTTAATGATTCATTTTACCCCTAGGGCAGTGGTGGCTTGTCGCTTCCAGGTGGGGTCAAATGTGTCATGGGAAGTTCTGGGAGCCTTTCTTGGACCTTTGTAAAATGGAAGCTCGACTCCGCGCTGTCGCCGGCCGCGGCGTTCAGCGACCTAGACCAGCTCTGCCGAGAGGATGCCACTCCCCGCTACACGCAGTGGCTCAATGACATGACGGACACTCGGAGAATGCAACTCAGAGGTGAGCTGGGGTCCTTCGGGATGACCCAAGGCACGACGCGGCATGATGCGGCATGAGACATTGGATCTTTGCTTTATGGGAAAAGTAGTAGATGTATGTGAGGAAAAAAACCTGATTTAAGACAAAAGACATCCCATGCAAGGTGGTTGCCTGGAGCTACGTTACATATAGTTTTCAATTGAAGTGAATTGCTAACAAAGTATTTACACTGAACATATCCTGTACACCAGCACGTGTATAGTCAGGGGTGGTTTTTGGATGGAACATACACAGTCACCGGCATGCCCGTAAACCAGACGAACTCTGTGACACGACTGCTCTCATGAGTTCAGCTATCATGAGATGGCTTGGCTGTTTCGATGCGTCGACGTGTTTTGTGCACCACAGAGAAGGACACTGAAGGAATGTTCGTCGCAAGACAAACGAAAACCACTTCACTTCCAAAGGGAGAAGAAGGTTCTAGTAGTGGTGCTGCCCATCAGATGGAGAAAATGGATCTAGCACCAGCACGGATCAATAGGGATACAAGATCTACTGGACTCATGCCGCATGCCAATAGTTCCACAAAACACTCAATGATCATGAAAGCAGATGTGACTCGTATGTGGACTGTGCAGAAAAACAGTAGTTCATTTGCAAGAAAGCCTTCTTTCGGACAGGTGTTCGACAGTTGTAGTGGCTGTGGAATCAAGGGGACAACTATATAATATATATTAACCTGATGCATCCTTTATAACACTTATTTCTGGCGAACCATGGTTTGGAGCACTTATTGGAAGTTTGAGCGTTAATTGAGGGTATGTACACTTTTCAGGACATATGAGCGCTTTTTGGTGATGTAAATTCTAAAGCCTACTGGTTCCTGACCAGTGTCCTTATCAACCCTTGTGGGCCTTTGGGGGCCCTATGGACCGGGTGGAAATCCTATATGACCTCTCCTAGTATGTGCAAATGAAACCACAAAGGTTTGGTTCCAACCTTCTGGGCGCGCTTTACAACAATTTTCCAAAAAGGGTGCCCGCAACTTGGGCGCAAATTCCCGCAACCCGGGCGCAATTTTAAAAAGTTGCGGATGGTTTTGTTCTTACATATTTTATGTTGATACCGACGATCAAAGAAAGGGTTCGTAGTGTGTGAGCGTGTGTTGTGTGTGCATGGGATGGGTGCCAGCATGTGACAGGGGAATGGACTTGAAGACCACATAAGGTGGAATGAAGCTACATCTGACTTTCCAGTGGTATGCTTTTTCAAGGCATGAACGCTTTTCTTGATGATGTGCAGTGTTTTTTTCTGTCACTTATTTCTGCTACGACGGAGGGTTCAGGAAGGGTCTAAGTCCCAAGGACGCGACGACACGCGCAATCCGCCTGATGGTTTCTGTGTTCGGAGGATAGGGGCCATCACTGCGCCCCCCCGCAGCGAGAAAGCTCGTCGAACAGCCCAGCTTCTTCCCAGTGGTGAAGGGCGGATCCGATTTCTACCCGGTCAGAGAATAACCTTTTTATAATTGGTCATTTTCCCCACCCAGACACTCCATGTTTGCCATATATGCCAATCAATTGACCCCCTGGCACCACCCCTGGCTTTTTCTCGGCAGTCCAGACTGGCAGTCCCAGACAGGTCGCGTTTGGGAACGAGAACGGGACTCTTTCCCAGCACCAAACGGATATATCAGGCCGCCCCACCAACCTCTCAGACTGGCCGTCCCAGACCGTTTCCACGGCAAGCCGTGGAGCACGTCCCGAGGAGGAGCAGCTGATGTCGCAGCGTTTTCGAGAAGTGACACTTCTACACCCCACCTGGCCACTTGGGGATGAAGAAATCGACTGTGACCTCGGATTGTTCGAGGGCATGTCGCAGCCGCGAGAAGGTGCGTTCTCGTTGTTCGGGGTGACAGGCGCGGTTTATTGGGAGGAAGAGCAACAAAAAGATGTTGGATCCTGGTTGTTCATGGGCGTTCACTGACACTTTCATCGAATTGATTGTTTTTTTGCACACTTAGTCGCTGTGTCCAGTGGGTGGATCCCGGAAATTCCAACGACGAACTGCCTGCTGTGTCGATGCGTCCCTTTGCGGACAGGGACCATCCATGGAGCAAAGGGAAGAGACGAGGACATACCACGAGGGTCGGCCAAAACCCTTTCTCTCGCACACGTGTTACGTTACGTTTATATCAACAGTCCGTGCGGAGTTCAAATGCGAGGATGCCATTTCCCACCACAGAACAGATAAGAATGATGTAGAATGACCAAACATGTCAAACCCTAGGGCCCCAGTCGTACCTTCGTTTCGAAGGTGGGACTGGGGTGGGTGCCAGGAGGGCCCAAATACCATCTGAGAAGGCACTTGGAGCCCTAATTCTTGGCCATCGAAACCGGTCCAATCACTCGGGGCCTAACTTCTGAAGCGCGTGAAACGCGCCCCAACAGAAGATCTGTGCCGTTCGATGGGCTGTCGTTGGCCACTGTACAAGGCACACAAGCAACAAACACAAAGCAGGCAGGAGACTTTGATAGGAAGATTTGTAGACTACAACATGACTTTCCTATCAGATAGATGATATCAAATTGTTGTTGATATATATATATATACAATTATTAATTAGACTTTATGACATCATAGTATTCATCGATCATTGATACCAATGGAACCTCCACGGTCGGTGTTTCACGACCATTTGATCCAAAAGCAACAAGTGGACCCTGCATGTGGTGTTTCTTTCCAGGTATATGAGGAACTTTTGCTCAAAGAATCTCCAGGAGTCACATGCAGTTGGGTGGATTGTTCTCTGAATCGTCCCATCTACTAAGATCTGATGTTGGCATCCCGACTTGCTCAACCATTCATGCGAAACCCAGTCCCAACCAGAAACAAATGGTTGTTCCAATATGGCAAATCCTTCCAGCACCTTCAAAGGGGTCACCAATGGAAGCCCCTACACCACTAAGGGACCTCCATTGGACACCCCTTGAAGGTCCAGGTTTACATAGGAAATGGTTGGGACTGGGGTTCCAGATATAAACACCTGGCTATTTGATCCCAACAGAGGTGGGTCAGGACCCGAACGAACTCGATCTATCCCAGTTCGGTACGGTGACGCGTCCGATTTACGATCACTGGATACACCTCTAGATCGGTCTGCCTGTGGTATGAAAGCACCGACCGACCCAGGATGTACCACCGTCGTGTGTGGGAGACCGTGGGTGGCTACACCCACGACACCACCGTGGGAGACGCCTGGCAGACGCGAAATGGACGCGGTCGACATGGTGATCTTCCAGAAGAGACCCAGATGGAACCTGAAAACCACATGCAAACCACACCCACATGGAACCTGACACTACCTGACAACCTATATATATATACCTGAAAACTCCGCCCGGTTTGTCGAGGAAAGTAAGTCGTGTTCTTTGCAGATTCCATGCCAAACCCGGTTCCATGTGGGTCTCTTTCATGGTTGTAAGGTTCAAGAAACGGGGGTTAAACCTACCAGCATCTTCTGCCTAGTCTTCTGCCTACATAGCACATGACATGTTGTTTTTCCACGACGTGCCAGATACTTTCTAGAAATGGGGTAATATGAAAACATAACATAGACATAACACATGAGGTGGGTTGATGAAGTTGCCATAAAGCAGTTTGGATAACGACATACCACTTACTTTCATAGAAGTCCTCACATGCCATTCTGAAATATGGTGCGAATTCCAGAGGTGAGCTTCATGTTTTTTACAATTGTTGCATGTCCTGACATGGAATGCGGAAGCAACAAGCGGTCTCTCTGCAAGAACACCACCTCTACTACACGGTATGTTCCATTGAAACTTGTTCTCTATTGAAACCTGCCACTCCAAGTTCACTACCAGGCTGAGCGGAACACAATGGCAGAACGTCTTCAGTCCGGAAAAGACTGGGTCCAAGCAGCTCTTCGGAAGGGCTCCACTACTATCACTACTACTGGGGTCCAACGTCTGCAATCCACGCGTCTACCCTATATATGAACGTGGAACCTTCGGAAAAATCGATGTTCCATGAAAATTTAAGCGGATTAGAAAGGTCATGTGGCTTATCATGGAAATGACACCTTCCCAAAACTTGAACAATTCCTTGTACTACACGGCCTTTTCTTCCACACCAACGTCGACTTGCGAGTCTTGGTGGCAAACGAGTTGTAGCATGATGTCCGAAGCGATGTGCTTTTTGAAAGACCTGTTCTTTTTCCATGTCCATCTATGCTCGGTGCCACGAAGGCTCAGCATTTTGCAATGAGCTATCATGAGCATCTTGCACTTTTGGACGACAAAAAGACAAAAATCGCAAGATGTCCCATGTCAGGAAGACATCGTCTTCTTCCACCAGCACCTGGAGAAGGGTGGTCGCTTGCTGAGGCGGCTTGGAGATGGACTCATCACCCGGTCGCCTTCCATTGGACCATTCAAAAAAGTTTGGTTGACCTGGATTTTCGAGTAAAATTCGTCAACTCCGTCATTACTTCGCTCTGAAGCAGCCGCCCTGTATGACACGGCGCTCGGGTCGTCAGCCGAAAGGACTCCAGTCGGGTCTTCAGGGTGTGGCACACCTGGTGACTTTGGGACTCCGGTGCCGGCTGAGCCGTTTTTGAGACCTGGGAGGTTTCCGAACTGGCACCGATGATCATCATCTCACGGTTTAAACCTCTCGTGACACGATATCCATTGGATCAATGTCCGGAAGGATCAGTCCGGACCCTCCTTAGAAGGGGTCGGGGGCGGCTGGAAGCCTCTAGTTCACCGGGGAACCCGGGGCCCCCTACCAAAGCCTTGTTTTGTTTCGGGTGTGGATCCTTAGGGGGTCGAAAAGATGATGTGTGTAAATGATCAATGGACGGTGTTTCCAGATGGTGATGATGGTGTATGGTCAATGGATTGTGTCACGGACTTGATCATCTTTACATACGGTGCTTTACTCAGATGTTTGAAGCGCCAGATGTGTGGCTTCTTCTCTTCCAGGACAAAAGGCTGGGGGAAGGTTGGGCGACATGTTTGGCAACGCTGTCATTGGGTTTTACCATGTTTCACCTCACGCTGATCTGTGCCAGACCTCACGGTCTGGTTTCACCACTCCTTTCCTTCGCCGCTCCGTTGCGACTGTGACGGCTCTGTGACAGGCTTCGGGAGCCGTTGTTGCACTACCGGTGCCACCCGGGGCAGCGCTCCTGGCGCCTGCCACGGAGAGAGGTCCAGAGTGCCAAGGCCATGTGCAAGACGGAGCTTTTGGACGATTACAACCAAACCCAGACACGACACGTCTGGGACTGGCATATGCATACATTGACCCCAGGTCAACCACCCCTGGCTTTTTCTCGGCAGTCCTACACTAGTCCCATGGAGTGTCTGGGAAAGGGTTTTGGACCGAATCGATAGCAGATTGAGGATCGCCCTCACCCCCCGCGCCGATTTCAGTAGCATCCTCTGCCAGAACCCACGGAGCGCCATGCTTTTTTCGAGGACATGGCTCGAGCAAGTGGGACGCAGTCTAAAGGTCACACTTTGGCACCCTCAGACTCTGAAGTTCCTGAAGTGTGTTCAGGGAGCAGAATCTGGTGGGAAGGTCGTGAGTGTCGTTGCGACAGCGTGACATCTTGCGCATGCTTTGGAATGCAAGGATCCTCTCGCGACCCTGGGATCCCATTTACACAAACCTCACGTTGATTGGAAGAAGCTTTGGAGTATACAAGGCTTTCGAATGGTGCACCTCATTGCCAAGAACCGAGACAAACCAGCCCCTTTTGGTTCTGCCAGTGCATTCAGACGTTCTCCACAAGTTCTCCACCAAATCTTGCAAGCAAAATGGGGAATTCTCCAGCGGAAATCGATCATCTTCAATGCTGGAAAGTGCCTATAGAAGATATAAACCTTTCAGGGCTCCCCTTCGTCCATGAATTTCCAGGTCCAAGTCCCCAAAACCTCGACCTTCCAAGAGAGGTTAAGTGACCTTATAGGACCTTGCTGGGGTACCTATGGGATAGGCTAGTTCGGGTCCTTCAACCTCTGTTGATTCTTCGTATTTCGCGGAGGCCGCGGCCTTCGAGCGACAAGTCCTCAGCACGCAGCCCTGGCGCGAGGGCTTCGGCGTGGTGGGCGCCGGCCGCGATGCCCGCGACTTCTGCAAGGCGCCGGTGTTGGGATCACGAAGCATGATCGGCCCTTGTTTGAATGGATGTGTTTGGTGGATGCAGAGGCGATGCTGCGATGATTTGGGATTAATTCCGGGGAGCTTTAATGTCCGGCATCTAAACATGTCAAAAGCCGCAGATGTTGATGTATGAAGTAAGTCCCGGAACATGATGGAACCGGCCAAATTGATTTTGTGCAACATCAAAGCGAGCAATTGTTGGAAGGAGTTTGTTGTTCGATCCAATCTCTCAATCTCAGTTGTTTGATGCAAGTTTGCGAAATGCTCGCAAGCGGAGCAAGCGGCATTCTGAATCGGCAGCATGTTTGCAATGGTTGGTCTGGCCCCAGAGTGGATTGGATGATGCAGATACAAATGATGTAGGGAAAAGGTCGGCCGATTTCAATAACTGACGTTACTGGTTTTCAGGAGGAGACGAGAGAAACACCTGCGACACCGAGTCCGGGCTTTGGGGAGGTGCCCCACTCCAAATCCACTTTCTACCTCGAAATCCACAGTCCCAGCTTCGTCACATTTGGGCACCTCCACCATGACTTCAGGGATTGTATAGGGGATTAGGGGAGTAGTTTTGCATTTAGCAGTTGCTTATTTGGTTCTGATACGGGAGCATCTTCACCGGCATGAAGAACTGCTATCACCGGAAGGTGGGGATCACGTGGATCGTCTGAAGCTTCGGATCATCCTCTTCCGAGACTCTAGACTCGAGACAATTTGGCTCACAGATGTTCACCAACCCCCGAAGCAATAGAGGCACCTGACAAGTATAGCATAGTATAGCTATAGAGGCACCGACAACCCATTGGTTGATTCAGAAGGAAACGGCTTGCTGTGAGCTGTACAAGTTAAGAAATGTATTCAGACATCAATTTAAGAAAAGATATTAAACAATGTGTTTATCTCCTATAATCATGGTAAAAGCAATCACATAACATGAATCACCGTGAGAATCGGTCCGGTGTGGATCAGAAGGTCGGTCTGCGCCGAGAAACTGTCCGACGGTCCCTGAAGCGGCGTCTCCGAAGCGGTGAGGCCTTGTCACCAGAGGCCCTGCGAAAGGTCCGCGCCTTCTACGAGGCGGAGGTGTTTTCAACGAAGCGATGGTATTGGAACGCGGTTTAAGAGGGAAATGCTTGGTGCTTGGCACCAGGCTGATAACACCCAAAAGGAAACCAAGTCGTTGTTGATCAGCTAGCTAGCTAGCCTGCTCGCTCCGAGCCGGAGATACGGGTCGCGACGGGCGACGGCGATGTCGCCCCAATCCCTTGCGGATCTGGTCATGATCATGATAAGAAATACCTTGTGGATGAACGACCTTGATGATCATGCATGATAAGATCCGCAAGAGATTGAGGAAATACCACTGGAATTACTTTACAGATCTTCCATCTTATCATGGCTTTCCTGTGGGGCATGAAATGTCTTGATTGTTTGGCTTGGACTATGGACCAATTTCCCCACGTGCCAATGAGTCAGATCGACCCACGTGTAATGATGCGACGGCATCGCATGAGACGCAACGATGCGAGTCGGCGTGATGCGACTGGTTGTTGTGTGTGATTCCAAAAGGAGGTGAAGCAAAGTTGAGAGAGAGATCGCAGAGATCGAGTTGCTTTCACATTTGATTCACATTTGATTACTATGGCTTTTTCACTTATAATGAAAGCTTATATTACTCTTTTCACGACTTCCCCCCCCAAAAGCTGCGATCTACAGTTCTGGTGACTAAGAAAACTGGTGCTACAGCATTGGACCAACAAGGTGAGTAATTACTAGACCTGCTTTGGAACAAATCCAGATGATCCTCCTAGATAACATGTGGCATACCTTACCTGTATAGAGAGAGAGAGAGATGGGTGAGGAGGGGGCAAGGGCAAGTTATTAACCGCAAGATCATGAAACATTTGTTGACACCAATTTGTGTGATCACACCAGCCACGTCACCAACCCAAAAAAATGGAACCACCAAAAACCTCATGGAACCACCGTCACGTCACGTCACCGCACCACCATGCACCACCCGTCACGTCACGGTCCAACTTTCCAGTCGTGTTCGGCCCAGCGAGGTGGATCCCAAGAAGATCGGCAAAAGCATCGCGTTCCCCTTCGCCGATGGCACGCACCAGGCGCCACCGGTCTGAGGTCAAAAGCACGAAGCGGCAGTTTGGGTGTTACCATGGCGAAGTACCATCGGGCACACAGATGCCAAAAACAAGGAGGTCAGAACGATTTGTTTTGGTTCAGAGCACTTGCTTTTCTGGGAGTTCATCCGTTTATAGCGACAAAGTCTGAGCCTTAAAATTCACGCTTTAACAAGAGCAAGAATAATCCCTTGTCGCTTGTGTTTACAAAGTACATCCTCGACATCAGCCTTTGCGCTTCTCTTTTAATTCCGGGAACCACAGTTGTGTACCTGGTCGTGTTCCACCGAAGGCCCTGTTGGGCTCCGTTTTTGGTGATCTCTCTCTCTCTCTCTGTCTCTCCACTGGGATCGACGAGCCATGCAGGTCCCGGTGTTGGAACAACCGAAGCTGCAGATCCCCTTTGCACCTCGTCCGATCCGGATCCATGGTTTGGACGAGGGGAACCCAACGAAAGCGGACGAGGAGTGGTCGTGGTCGGACCCTGCTCAGCTCGGATTTGAACATGGTCATCGAGAGATCCGAAAATCGGGGCCATGCCATCCACGTAACATCTTCTGTAAACATGTCAAGAGTTTATTATCCCCTCAGTCATTACCTGCCCTTCCTTACTTCGTGACCCTTGCAGACTGCAAGCTCAAGGGAGCGGTACCCGACATTTGGGACTGACTCCCATGTATTTACATACTAGGATCCTTGAAAGAATCATGGTTTCATGGAGTGAAAACCACCTGTTTGGCATCTTCGGATTGAATCCAATGGTCATCCGCTTTCTTTGGGGCCATGCCATCCACTTCCACCATGGATGATTTCATGGAGGACGAATTTCAGCGACATTTGGGTGCTTGAAATCAGGGTCTTTCTGGAGCGTATTAGGGTCCGATGTCCGATCAAACCTTGGACCATTGCAAACTCTATGATTCCTCACTGGTGAGTTTCTGCATGGTTGTCCTGGAGCCAGCGCTCATGATGGTGTGGGAGACTAGTGATGTACCATGATGTACCCTTAGTCCGTCCCTGGTGTTTGAATGCCTTGGTTGGATATGGGAAACTGGTGCAACAAAGGTATGAAAGAGCTTAAGGGCTTTCAAGTGAAAGGGAGACTTTCGGGTGATGCTCATCCAATCCTACTCGCATCACCAAAGTTCTCATTGAAAGCCCGGTGCGGCGATGGTATCTTTGGGGAGTAGTGCAGGGACTACCGCAATGCGAACCACCACGCCAGCTCACTAAGAGCATCGTATGATAGTTCATTGGGGACTCGCACATACACTAATGGAGCCCACGCCCACTTACATGGTCTTATATGGTGTATTTCTTGACTCCAGCATTCCAGCAGAGCTTGAAAAAACCCGAACGTTCGACTCTCCTAGTTCAGTACCCCTGGTTTTCCGGGTCCTACAGTCCGGTAGTTTTTGGTCACTGGATTCCTCTCTTGGTGATCCACCGCAATCAACTCTCTCAACATCCAAACATCGGACGTCTCCGAGCACGGACGGAGGGTCGTTCCACACCGTTTCACATCGCAGGAGGGGTCTGTTCGGAGGCCCAAGTACGCTTCCTCATGCTTGAGGAAGAGTACTTGGATTGCGGGGGGGGGTTATGGAGTTGATGGGGTCAATGAGCCAATGTGGTGTATATATCAATGTAAATCAATGATCCCTCGGCTTGAGCTTCCTCATGCATCCTCCAAGCTGGCAGGAACAGTAAGTGTAGTTTACGCTCAATGACACTCCGCCAAGCCAAACAAAGGGAACGTGAATGTGAGAAAACCAAGAGGTTCATCCCGTCATGGGCAGGTTCAGAATTCAATTTCCGAACCTCCCCATATCCAAGCATCTTCGTGGTATTGTAGGTCTGCCAGGAACACAAATCCCAGGCAGCCCACGCTTCTCCACGTGCCTAGGTGGTTTGCGTGGCTTTGGAGCGTGGATACCAGGTTTTGAGCGCCATCGCTCGAGATCAACCAACGGCGCAGGAGGGAGTGGACTATTTCCACCTGGTGTGAAGCGGTGTGAAGGAGGGGAGAAAATGAATTCGTTTAGGGGAACATTTGCCATGGGTTTGAAATCACAAAGCGATGAGTTTCCTGAAAAATCTCAATTAAACAAACTTTGAGAGGGAGGTTGAGGTGACTACTCCATACTACTCGGAAGATCACGTGCGAAACGATGTGTGTAGGTGAGGGGATGGAACACACCAAATGCCATCAGCAGAAGAAGATAGCATTTCAGCCCAAACATGTACCAGCACCCTTGCTGCCCAGGTCACCAATGGTTCGACCTCTTTTCCAGGCCCAACCCCCCATGTCGGAGGACCTGTAGAGTCGGGTCATGGTAGACATGTTGCCCAGTAAACCTGAGATGCGCCGGACTCGGGGTTTGTCACAAGGTCAGAGGTCGGCCTGCAAGCGAGGTAAATCATAATCCACTGGTGGTGATAGGATAGACCCACTGGTCATAGGATATGATATCCCAAGAAAAATGAGAGAAACTCGAGAAGTGTTTGTTGAATTCTATCCATCAACATGGTCTTTCAGATGTGGATCGCCATTCTCCTATTCTCCTCAGCCCTTCTTCGCACAAAATCATGGCGGCTCAGACCTGCGCGCGACCCGAGCAGAAAAACGTTTTGTGCGATCGCCCGACCACGTGGATGGGATGCTGTTTGTGCTGGATGTTGTTGCCCAAACCCAAAAAGGATCGGAGAGTTCAACACGGAGCCTGCAAGAACTGATATGGGACGTTGGGTCACAAAATGAAGGAATCGCTTCAGCCGGTGAACCCAACTGGTCCAAGGCACCGATTCCTCTATACTGTTGTTGTGAAAAGGATGTCAACCATTTCCAACAGAGGTTGAAGGACCTTGTAGACTATCCCAGTTGGGTACCCCAGGTGATGGTCCTAGTTCAGGTCACTTGATACCTCTCTTGGTTTTGTTACGGGTTTGTAGTAGGTGAAGGTTCCATGACATAGAGCCATACCAGGACCATCCGACCATCCGGGGTGTGCTGCTGGCTGGAATCCACCCTGCGCTAGGTACTCTCCGGGATCTCTAGACAGGACATTGGATGGTCCAGGTATGTGGTGTTTGGGAGAAGGTTTGGTGTGGTGTATCAAGGAGCCCTATCTGATAACCTTGGGTCAGTCACAGCTGGTGAACCTGGTGAATCGCGTTTGGGGGGATTTGTGATGTTCCCTTGCTTTGGTACATCATGGCCCATGCACTAAACAATGATTCCAGGGTGTTTTTGTGACATGGTCCCCTAGCTAAGGCATAGGCCATGGTAAATCCCCGTGAGGGACGTGGCAGATCACCTGTGAGGGATCTGGCTCCTCAGCGGGGACCCAACCCGCGAAGCGTTGACAGCTCCTGTCGGCTGTCGGGAGATGTCGGGAGTCTGTGACTCTGGATTTGGTCAAGCACGACGAACATGAACAGAATAGGGAGGTCAACCTACCAGGGATTAGGGCTCTGGGTGCCATAACCCACGGCCATAATATATAACAAGTGGAGGTTGACATCCCACACATGAAGGACTCGCTTCATGTTCGGTGACCCAGGGCTCACGGGGGTTCCAGAACCCACCGCCGGGCCTGGCGAGAAACTCCCATGACATCAACGACTCCCGATATCATGAAAAAGCTCCTAGTAGCTTCTTGCTCCTAGTAGTAAGGCCAGGAGCCCCGTTCGTAGCGTCCTTTGCTCGTGAAGGAAAGATCCACCCGATCCATCCATTCGAGCGCACGCACGCATTGCACTCCACGTCCAGGTGCCGGGTGCCCCTGCGGTTCATCGTGGGCCGGTGATGATGCCATCACAAGCGGTCTTGCAGGCGGATGTCGACTCAGTCGAGATTTCTGGCTTGGCGGGATCAGCACAACCATATGTTTTCCATAACTATTTGTTTGGATGGTTTGGAAAAGCTCGTGGACGCATGCCTAGGGTTGGTGTACACTTTTCTGTTGTGCCAAGATGTGTGGTGAAGGTGATGCAATTTAAAATGCGTCAAATGTCGCCCTGACCGTCAACAATGTGGGTGTCCAGTCTCTCCAGCAAATCCTATTCCCAGACACGACACGTCTGGGACTGCCATATATCTTGATTGACCCTGCCGGCTTACTCGGCTGACTCCTGACAAATCTGCGCGGTATGCCATGACCCATGATGGCGTGTTTGAAGAGACACTAGTCTAGATGGTGGTTCCGGAGATTTTGATGTTCAACGGTGCCGCCAGTGTCCGAGAATGAAGCCTCATCCGTGGGGGGCCGGAGATGAAGCCTCATCTATGGGGGGTGAGTTCTAAGGAGTCTTCTCTTATTGAATGGCTCGAAGATGCTCAAAGCATTCCACCAGCACCATGGATTCCGGGTGTCCATTAATAGCCCCTTAGAGGTGATTTGGGGTGTCCATTAACCACCCCGACTGGGGGTCCTGGCATGTGTTGTTACATGTTGTTACCACTAGTTCATCTCCTCAGATGAACGTCCACAGTGATGGTCCCGCTTCCGCGGACACGGAAACCGAAACCGACCAAGATGACCAAGGTGGACCGCTCCGATCGAGCGATCAGATGGTCCCCACCTGGAACCCCAGCTCCAACCAGAAACAGTTCTGGTTGTTCCAATATGGCAATTGAAATCCTTTACATAGGAAATGGCTGGGACTGGGGAAACATCCATTTCTTTCTGGTTGTTTGGAGTTCCAGGCAATGAAGAAGCTGGTGACTCTGGGGCAAGAAAACCCGTCCACAGACGAGGGGGGCCGTTGGTGTGTATGGGGAACTGGTTCCTTCTCCAGTCCAAGCTTGGCGGGAAGACTCCAGTCCATGTCAAAGGCTAAAAAAAACTCAAAATGGAAGAGACCTCACTTCTACCCTCCCTCCAAGAAACATGGAAGTGTTCAACCCCTATCTTTGTTTGTAAAGTATTTCACGGTCTTTCCAGCGGGAATAAACCTCCACTTCCATGATCTTTGGCTATCTTTAGTTTAGCCGGGAGTGTCATACTTCCATGGCTTCCACTTCCATGGCTGGAGTAAAACATGAAGTAAACTGCAGAGCTTAGAGCAACCACCGTCCTAGCCGGCTGCCTCACTCTCTCACGGTTCTCTCTCGCGCCGCGGCGACCCGACCGGTCGCGCCGCGCCGAACCTCGACCGGCTCCAGCTGCTCCGGCGAAGTGATTTGGTCCGATTTAGCAGAGCATGGCCATGTGTTCCAAGAGTCCTATCATATATACTATCATATATCATATATATATACTATCCTATAGTGATTTCGATGAAGAAGGTCATACTATCATATACTATTAATATTGTCCTATATAGTTACTATATATCGTACATCTATCATTCTCTCTTCATGTGGTAGGTATGTGTCATGATGGGTCAGTGACTGGTTGTTTTGCCGCCTTGTGAAATGTTTCAGATAGGATAAGAGCAAAACCATTCAAAACCAAAGCGCTAGCATGCGCTAGCAAACACCACCATCATAGCCTTGCCACACCCACCGAGACTTGACTTCGGACAACCTTGCCAGACACATCTCCCTTACATGGTGTTTGCTTTGCGAAGGTCACGAAAACCTGGCGTTTGACCTCTTGCACTCCCCCCCAAAAAGTGGTGCAGCCTCCAGGTTGGTAGCCTGCGCTAAGTTACACTATAGACACCAAAGATCCTGAACAACACCTTTTTCCTGCCCAACTTCCACTCGTGCCTATGGCCCTTTTACGGGCGTTCCTTGGCCCGTCACGGACGGCGTTTGGCGTCACGGCGGTCGGACGCCCGGAGGGACAAGCGCCACGAGCGGATTCCGACCTCGTGGGAGGGCGCATGCTTCGCATTGGGGTTTGCTCTGGCGGAGAGAGAAAACCACAGTGGCAAGAACCATTCTCGGTCGGTTCCACCGAACCAGATCCGAACCGCCCGAATCCGGTCTTAGAGCCGAACAGACGTGGAGCTTTTTCGTTCGGGGGGTCAGGGACGGCAAGAGGTCCAGGGCGCGCAAGGGACAGGTCCAACAGAGGCACTGGATACCTCTCTTGGGTGAAGAAGGGGCGAAATCCCGGAGAAGTCCAAACTCCCGTTGAGATGGACTTCCCTCCGAGTGGACCGAGTGGACCGGGTGCCAGAGACCTGGCGGCGTTGAATGGGCCCGCAGGGTCATGAGATGTCACGAGTAGGGAAAGCGGGTGAAAGGATCGAGGTAGGCAGTTCTCCAACGATCCAAGAAGGGTCCAAGTCATGTTCGGCATACTTCGGTAGGTCAACTGTCCAAAGTGAAGATCCAGAGAAGATCCAACAGAACAACTTTTGGGGAAGCTTTTTTTGAAGCTTTCAGTGGACCAGGACAAGCACCGGTCACTCTATCCCTGCACCTCAAGCCAACTCCGTAGATGTGTAGCACGTTTTTGACCAGTTTTTTCATGTCCCAGACACTCCATGTATGGCATATTTACATACATTGACCCCAGGTCAAGCACCCCAATTGATCGTCATATGAACCATATACATCGAGTGTCTGGGTGTTTTTACCTTCGGAAGTTCGACATGAATCAGCTCATCTTCAAATGTCCAGAATACCCCTATTGGCCCTGGGCAGGGCCAACAACGACCCATCCGGAGTGTATGTGTGGTGTGAATCTGCACCCTCTCCGTGTGCGGCGTAGCTTGACCATGTGGGGGTGTTGATTCTGGGACTCCGACACGTGACGGAGTTCGGTGTGCATTCCTTTTTTCGAGCCCTTGGAGTTCGGTCGAAATAGACCTTCATCGACCTAGCCAGCCAGCTTGGAGACCTCCCATGGAGGGGTACCCCGGGATCCCGACAGGGTTACTGGCCGCTCCACTGACCCTGATGCTCCACTCACGCGTCGTGGGCGTTGAACGTGTGAAATTGTTCCAAAACGCGCCCAGGCTCATCCAATGAAGGACCGGGTGACGCCTTCGGCGTGGTTTGGGCGTCTTTGTTCATGCTGGGAGAACGATGTGTTCAGTGGTTGGAGCAGTGGTTGTACCACCCGTCCAGGGAATGTTGCTGGCTGTGATTTCTGCGTTCTGTTCCTTTCTTGCGCTTCGTGAACGTCCAGCGAATGACCGCTGACGTTGCCTCAAGGCTCCCCCTTTTGCACCGGCGAAGCTAGGTTCGACCGTGACGAATGGGGTGTTGAAAAGCCCGCTCTGATTTGCGCTTGTGGAGCTGCCACCTGTTGAGGTCCACTTCGGTGGATCTCACAGGTGGTAGCGGAGCTGCCGAGTTGATCTGGGATGACGACCTCCGCTGGAAAAGCCGATGAGACCTATGCCAAGTTGGACAAGTTCGATGGGAGCGATCCAGCCTCGTATCGCAAGTGGAGAAGAAAAGCAGAGCCGATGCTGTTGGCTTTACCTACCACGTTTGAGAAGACACGGTGGGGACCCAAGCTGATGGAATACATCACTGGTGAAGCAGAAGAGCTCTTGGAGCACGCTGAGAGACCAGCCCAAGTTTTTTGTGAGCTGAGCCGAGCACGCATGCTGTGCCGGACACGGCGTGTAGGAAGACTTTAGTAGGCCAGCAGGTACTTGAAGGCATTGAAACCGAACGTCGAAACTTGAAGTCGACTCGGAAGCGTGAGGGTAATCAGTTTCGTTCTGGCAAGAACGGTAGCGTTGAAACGGATCAGTCTCGAGTTGTCGGAGCTGACCATCAAGATCAAGCACATTCCAACTAGGGACGTGGCGTTCTTAGCAGTGTCAGACTCAGCATGGGCAAACAGCCCTGACCTGTGTTCACAAGCAGGTTTTATGGTGGCCGCGATCGACAAGAAGATGGTGAAGAACGCATGGGGAGATTTCAGTCTCCTACGGTGGAAGTCGTTCTAGCAGGACAGGAAGACGCCTTCAACTCTTGGTGCAGAAATGATGGCTCTGTCCAGAGCTATAGCTACTATAGCAGAGAGCAGGTGGTTGAGAAGCATGTTGTTGGAAGCGTTGAACTATCAGTACACGATCAAGGACAATGATGAGTGGGAAGAGCACACACACACCGATTGTGGCCATAGTGCATAACAAGCCACTCTTCGATCACACTCGAGCACAACCACAACAGACGAGACAAACGACATGCCATTGAGATGTTGATTGTGAAAGAAGATGTCCAGAAACACAATGTGAGTGTTCGTTGGGTTGCGACCTACCGAATGGTTGGGGATATATTCTGACTAAAATTGGGGTTAGTCCGAAGTTGTTGACGAAGGTTCTTGATTGGGGTCAATTTGTGTGGGTGCAAGACGCGTCGATACGTCCAGAACGAAGCACACAGAAAATCATTTTGGGTGTGTGTGATTTCAGCGGTCTGTTCCTTTCTTGTGCTTCGTGAACGTCCAGCGAATGACCGCTGGCGTTGCCTCAAGGCCCCCTTTTGCACCGGTGAAGCTACTTAGATGGTTTTGTGGTAAGTGAAGATGTAAGTCAAGTTATATAATGCTTAAGTCAATGTATAACGTGGTCAACTCACGTTGTAAACTAACTATCCAAAGGTAAACGCGTTGTAAGTGTACTGGCACATATAAATTGTTATAGGTAAGTTAGCAGAGTTACAACTGAACTTAATGAGCTCAAGGGTTCTAACTTATAACTTATAACACATTACTTACTTACTTATAACTTGTTTCTAAGTAGCTAAGTTCCGCACGTTGACTTTTGGTGATTTTTCATCCGTGCTCCAAAAGTTGGAATGTTTGCGCCTGTGTGTGTGTGTGTGTGTTTGTGTGGGTCTGTGTGTGTGTGTACGTTTTCTGCGCGTGGGTGTGTTTGCGTGGTTGCGCGCGTGTCCGTTTGTTGGTTTTAGGATTTGTTTTTTGCATGTATGCCGTTTTGAAATGCCGCAGGCTGTTCATGTATGTCGTCTGCTGGCATTTTTGCTCTTTACTTTGGGTGGCTCGTCCCCCGTTTGACTCTGGGTGGCTCGTCCTCCGGCTGTGCGGTTCATGCCCACAAGTCTGTGCAAAGGATCGCAAAGGGATGTTTTGACAAAACAGAAAGGAGGCTCGCCCCTATGAAAGGTGGAAAGAAAGGTGGAGGCAAGCACCATGGCTATAGTTCCCGGCAAGATGGGGCGCAAGCTGCACACCTGGGACCAATCCCTCTCAGAGGTGGGCAGGGCACTTTAACAGCCCGAGACAAGGAGCAAATATATCAGCCAACTGGCTGTTCCGCAGCAGTCAGATTTAGACAACAATGGGGGGAGCGTTGCCTGACCATAATGGTCCTGCTGAGCACCTTTCTGAAGCCCGACGTCTGGCTGATCACCTGATCGAGCAAAACGGGTCAGAAGAGCTGCAGCAGAAGAACCTTCAGCCGTGACCAATCGAGTGTTGAAAAGCCCGCTCTGATTTGCGCTTGTGGAGCTGCCACCTGTTGAGGTCCAATCTCACACTGGCGAAAAAACAGATCAAATGCACTGGGAGTGCATTTCACAAGCAATGCAGTCGCTACTACTTTTCTTATTCTTGCTTAGGCGAGGGGGCAACGTCGAAAACTTCGTCGCGTCCACGCTGGAAACTGGAGCTCTTCGAGCTCTGTGCACCCGCGGGCTGCGGCCACACCATCTGTTGAGATGGCCGTAGAGCTTTTGTCCCAGTGATCAAAGCGGCGCATCGAATTTATTCTCCCGGACCCTTGATAGTGTCTCACAGGAGCAAGGAAGTTGTGTTGAGGGGCTGGTTCAAGAAAAGATCATCCCCGTCCGCCAGGCGAAGATGAAGAGGGCCCTCTGCGCCCTGTATCCACCAGACCGAACAGCGTGTCGCTGGGCCCACAACCGCCTTGCAGGGGGGACACACCACGAACATATGGTCGACACACGGCTCAGGCCGCCCCGCGACAACAACCGCCCGCACCAGCGGCCCTCACAGAGAGGGCAAACGAAGTATGTTTGGACCCGTTGATACATTGTTTAGTTATGTCTTACGTGCATGTTGCAAGCATTGTTGGATCTATCTTTGAACCAATTGAAATTGTACATGTTCAAGGGGGTCAAAAAATCAAGTGATTACTAGATGTACACTGTGATCGAGACAAGACGTAGAGATGAACGCAGCAAAGTGAATGAGAAAATATATCGATGCCCTTGAAACTTAACATATTTCAGGGGGATCCAAATCATAACCAACAATGTGTGCAAATGAACAAACTTTGGACAGTCTGACAAGTGCAAAACTTTAAGGGGTGTCGAAAAATAGAGTGAGTATAAACAATAAACTTTGCAAATCTTTACAATGTGCATGATCGGCGCAAAACTTAGAGATGAACGAAGCCTTAAATGGATGAATAATGTTTAGAGCAGTGTCTACAACAACTCTATTTGGGACTCTCTTACACTTTCTTTATTCAGGTTTTCAGACCCTCTTTTCAGATTGGCATTCTTGGGCATATCTTTCGACCGAAATTGCGCATTTGTTCGCATGTTGCACAATAGACTTTACAACCAGCTGACACATATGCTACCGTATTAAACTTTACATCGGCTGCAAACCAGCTGAAAGGTATGTTACCTAGCGCTGGAATGCATTGAAGATCGATTGCAGAGGTGCAAAGCCAAGCAAGAGGGCCAGCCAAAAGCTGCAGCGTCTCCAGCTGCAAAGCGACCAGCCCTGGCACCAGTTGACCGCACAAGCTGCACAAGCCACGAGCTGTACGCAATCTAATGAGCCTGCATCAAGCAGATCAAACACTGTTTGGCGGTTTAACTTCTCTTGGAATGATTGATTGCAATGGTTCGAATTCAGACATTCCAGCCATGCGGTGTTGAGTTGCATCAAGAGCATTGTGGCGCTTTGTGGCTTCCAGGATTTGCTGCGTGGCATGGAGGACGACAGGCAGAAGGCCAAGCTGTGAGCTGTGAGCTGTGAGGTCGTTGTATTGTGGATGTGTGGCGATGGTTTCGGATAACGATCACTGTGATGGATCTGTGATCATGCTCGATCATTGAATCACCATGCTGTGTGGTGATGGTATTGGATGTGTTGTATTGGTGATTCAATGTTTGTATTTTCAATTTCTACTTGGGATGATTGAGCCCACTGACTAAGATGTTTCAGGATAACGATCGTTGACCGAGCTTCATGCTGCTCCAGTTCAATACGTTTTCCAGACACTCCATGTATGGCGTACAACAAATTGATTATATGAAATCCTCTTCAAAGGGGGGAGGTTAATCAAGAGTCTACATTGTGGACCCCTGGTTTGGGTGAAGCTTTTGGGTCACAACGAGACTCACGACGAGTCTTGGACCATCGTCATCTTCGGCTCATTATGACCCTACTGCAAGTATTACTATTCCATACATGGATGGTCTGGGATCTGAAGAAGGGAAACTCCAACCTCCCGAGCGACGTGGAAGACGTGGACCAAGGAAACCCGGGCGGGGGGGGCCCAGGACATCCACGCTTTTGAGCCGAGAGCTGACTTGACTTAGCTGACCCCCCACAAAAATCTGACATGTGTCCAAGAGAGCTTGAGAGACCTTCATGTATACATTATGAGATAAGCCTCAAACAAAGGACCTCTTCAACCTCACTAGAAATGCACAGGTGTCCTTCCCCATTGACTTTCCATCTACCTACCCTCCAGCCCCTTCCCTCGTCCACTCCCTCAGGCACTGGGAGATGTCCTGGACCACCTGGCGGATGGCCATTTGCCCACCGAGGATCGATCTCGGACCGGTCTACACGGTGGGTGTCCACCTGGACGGTTGGCTTACTCGATGAGGTGTGTTCTTCGGTTGTTTGTTCCTTTTCTTTTGAAACCTGTTGTTTTCTGCTTAGAAAAGGGCTCTTCCATTTGATGTCCTTCATTCCCATGCTGGGACCACAAAGTAGGCGACCGTCTTTGTTAAAAAGAAATGTGTTGAACTGCCGGTGTGGGTGAATTGAGCGATGCTGGCGCTCAGGAGGAAGCCTTGAGGCTGTTGCAAGCTGGGGCGAAGCACTTCGCTCAGCTTCCCACCTTGGTGCCAATCACCGCTCCTCGACTCAGTCGGTCGACGTCGCTGATGTGGTCGACTGACTACGACCGGGTCGACGACAGGGTCTTGGGAGATCATGGGATGGATCGTTTGGTGATTTTTTTTGGGGGGGGGGAGATGTTTGAGGTGCCAAGCAGCGGGATGGATCCATGTTATTCCATGTTGATCCATATTCTAACTCATATTTGGCGTGCGTGAGTTGAAAAGTACTGAGCAGGTTTGTTTATTTGGTTTGGGGGCATGTGTTATGCGCAGTTTGGTGTTGGAGATGATGATCGATGACCCGGGGGTCGCTCGTTTCGGTTTCCATATCCTTACACTCGGGGTGCTGCCGGGGGCCAACCTTGTGAAAAGAACTACACTTTCTGGAAGTAACATGGAAGTGGATGGCATGGCCCCTTGGAAGACCGTTCTACCAACAGGAGGTTTTCCACTTCTATGTGAGATTCCAGGGAGTGTCTTTGTTCACCGGCCTTTTTCAAGCTGTGCTGTAGCTCCTTGTTGGAATCCCGATTCCTTCAGCTGATCTGAGGGCAGTTCTTGCTGTGGGAGCGTGTGGGTTTACAGGGGCTGTCCTCTCCTACCTCCGGATCTTGGAGTGGGTGTGTCGTGGGGGCTGGTCCCTACCGATGCAGCGGTGGTCTCACCCTCCAACAGAGGTTGAAGAACCCTATAGACTATCCCATAGGTACCCCAGTAAGGTCCTATAAGGTCACTTAACCTCTCTTGGCTACTGTAGTGTGTCGGTTGAGAGAAGACTCGACCAGCCGTTCGAGGCTTCGAAGGTACACTCGACTTGGACATCAGACTGGATGGTGGTGGGTGGTGGGTTCCATGTGTTCCATGTTCAAGGTGGTTCCATGGTGGTGGGTTTCCATGGGATAAATCATCCATGTGTTCCATGTTCCTGTTTTATGACTGATGATTCATCCCGGCTCAGGGCTCGAAACGTGAGTTGAAGCCACGAAACAGGATACATGAAGCATGCTGGAATCGTGTTCCTCGGTCTTCGGTGCCAACCCAGATGTGTGGCCAGAAACTGCACTTTGGCAAGGCAGCGTGGGAAAACCTGAGCAAAGAATGAAGGACAATTGATATCGACCCTTCAGACTTCACATGATGTGAAGTCTGAAGGGTGGCCAAATACAAAAGTTGCTTTATCCCAAAGCCTTCTGGGAAGAGAACGGACCCAATGAACCCAATGAACCATGTTCAATCGTGTTCATACGACCGAATCTGAAGGTGATTGGGCTAGGAGGGCCCCAATACCTTCTGAGAAGGTACGACTGGATCCCTTCGAAAGGGTTCTGTACAGGGCCCAGGCAACCTTCGATGCCCAGCCCAGCCGCACCTTCTCAGCACTCGCACCGCGCACGCTCCGAGGTTTCCAAGGGCGCAAGCCTACATGTGGTCGGGGACTTGCATGGCCAGTTGCTTGGACGTCCGACATGAGAGTCGCTCCGACGAGTTAACCAGGTGCACGTTCGACGTCCGTCCGACGAGTCTTTTCGAACAGAGCTCCAAGATTCTGACGAAAGCCCCGAAACAGGGAGTAGTGGATTTTTGACTGCCAGGTGGGGTGAAATGAGTCATTGGAAGTTCTGGGTACATGAAACCTGCAGTTTTCTTCGAGAATCTCGTGTATCTTCAGGTATTTTGGTTGTTGAGGTCCTCAATTTGTTTGGTCCTTCGCAATGATGTGGAAATGCCAGCTGGGTAGGAGAAACGGGTCTGGAAATGTCTGAAGAAATCCACGTGTCGATGGCCTGGAGTGTAAGTAGTCGATTGGTGCAAATGCCCCGAATTCTTCATCAGTCTCATCTCGCGCCATTCGGCAAGGGTGTTTGAACCCCCACATGAGCGCACATGAGGGATTGTCCAATATTTCAAACTCCAGCAGCAAAGGAAATTCCCTAGCCATGTCGTTGCTCCTGGTGCTACGGAACATGGTGAAAGCCGCTAGACCAACAAAGGTTGAAGAACCTGAGTTCGACTATCCCAGTTCGGTACCCCTGGTTTTCCGGGTCCGTTCGTTCAGGTCACTGGATACCTCTGTAGGGAGTCCAGTTCTCCAGAAATCGACTCGATCCTCGGAAGCTCCGACCTGACCACTTGTTCCAGCATCGCCGACTGGACCGTTGAGGGAGGTTGAGCGAATGGACCGTGGAGTCTCCCACTTCCATCGGCGTCTGACTCGCCAGGGGGTTCACGGGGATCCTGCGTCGGTCCTTCGGTCGAGCTGAGGTTTTGCGAGTTGATGACCGTGATCAGCTTGTGTGGCTTGGCGGGAGTCTCACGCCACCGAGGTCACAGAGCGTCACCTGAAGGGCGCGAGTCCGAGGGCAAGTGTTGTACCGATGTTCTCGCAGAACGAAGTTATTGTGAAATGTTGTTGTAATTTGTCCTTGCGTTCTTGTTTTGGCCCTCTTAAACAATGTTGTTTCATGTTATTCTTGGTTTGTCTTCCTTCCACTTGATTTTACTTGGCTACGGCTACTACTACTACGACGACGACCACCACCACCACGACCACCACCACGACCACCACCACGACCACGACCACCACCACCACCACGACCACCACCACCACCACCACGACCACCACCACCACCACGACCACCACCACCACCACCACCACGACGACCACCACCACCACCACCACCACGACCACCACGACCACCACGACCACAACCACGACCACGACCACACTACCACTACCACTACCACTACCACTACTCCTGCTACTGCTACTACTACTACTGCTACTCCTACTACTACTACTACTACTACTACTACTACTACTACTACTACTACT